TCAGCTGGGCGATTCGCAACACATTGCCAATTGCTATCAAATACCGGGAAGTGGGTGGCACCGTTCACCGTAAAACTCCCACGCTTAATAATAACCACCGCCTTATCAGCGCCACCGCTACTGTATCACACGTAGGATCGCTAAACTCCATCGGCACCTACTATTCACTGATAGCAACGACAAGGGACGCGGAAATCGGCCGCGGTAGAACTCCAGACGGCACGACACAGACGAGTTCCCACCCAGCCGCCATCGGAAGGCGCACAACCTCTCATATCCTATTGCAGCGTAAAAAATGACAGATATTTCCAGTGGGTGAGATACACGCCAATGACTATAATAGGCCCGACGGTATCCCGTAGTAGGTAGTGAGTCGTGACGCCCGACACATGAAATCACGACCGTGCCCGCACACTGGCCACGATATGCGTTGTCAAAATGCCAACAAATAACATGGGAGCTACAAAATATGCTGAGCGCCGTTCAAAGTGTATCATGACCAGTCAGCGTCACCCCCGCGCCGGCGACCGAGTGTTATTACTATACACACATTTTTGAAACGATCTCATTTTTCCATATCGCACGAGAAAAGCTCAATCACCTGCCTATGCAATGAAATAACATGACATTTCCGGCGAGCCCTATCCCGCTAATCCCACGGAACCCCTCCACCCTCCCCCCCCCCCCCCCACCCCCTCCCGTGATAAAAAAATCATGGACGCATCTGTAGCCTTTATCACACGTAATTCAATCACTCTCCTATGCCACCCAATCATCTAGGTTTACAGTTATCCTCCTCTAAAATTCCCAAAACAAATAAAAATCATGCACTCACTATAACAAACACTTCAGCAAACAGCTGCGATTCGATGAAAGGTGAGTGGGGACGGGTACATCTTTTCGCAAGTTACAAGCAAACAATTATGACGAAGAGAATTAGGCGACACATCGGGTGAATCATGTCACATAACACGACATAGAACGGTTGCGGGTGCCCGCTGTGCCGGCGGGCGTTCTGACTGACCTGCTGGTCGAGCTGACGCTGATGGCTGCTGAGCTGCTCCGTCAGCCGGTCACCGAGCCGGCGCACCTCGCTGACCGCGGCGCTGACCTGAGCGGCCGCCGAGCTCAGCTGGAGCGCCGCCTCCCGGTCAGCCGGGTCACCGGCCGCCGGCGCCGCCACCGACCTGTCGCGCCGGCCGGGGGCCGGGTCACCACAGGAGGGGTGCCCGAGTGCCGCGGGGAGGGGGGAGAGCAGTCTGACAGCTCTGCGACTGGCGGCTTTTATAGCATTTACTGATGGCTGTTATAGCATGGACTGTGGAGGTGATCAAGTGGAGCAGTGTCCGGTATCGGATATCTGAGCCTCCCGCCGGTATTCGTTCGAGCCGCAGCGTCGTATTGAGTCAGGTCGTTTCGGGTGTCAAGTTTACCGAACCAGCCGCATTAATTGTCTGTCTGTCTGTCTGTCTGTCTGCCTGTCTGTCTCTGTGTCTGTCTGTCTGTCTGCCTGTCTGTTCGTCCTCTGACGCTCTGTCCTCACCTCTCGATGTCATACAGCTGACCCCGCAGCTGGTGAATGCTCTCGGCGCTGTGTCTGTCTGTCTGTCTGTCTGTCTGTCTGTCTGTCTGTCTGTTCGCCCCGTCCGTTGCTCTGTCCTCACCTCTCGATGTCGTCCAGTTGACCCCGCAGCTGGTGGATGCTCTCGGCCGTGTCTCCGGCGCGGTGGTTGGCCGCCGATACGGCCTCGCGCAGTCCGTTCAGCGCTAACAGCACCTCTTGACCCGACTGGAGCACGAATCGTTACAGTCAGATAGGGCGAAATCGCTGCCTTTTTGGCATTACAATCGAGAATCCTGAGATGGAGGGAGCACTCCTGGTCATCTGATAATGGCGGCATACAAAACAATAAAAAAAGCACAATACGAATATGATGAATGCGTAATCGGGAACCAGAACTTGTGATATTTTTACTTTTGGTGATCTCCAGTGACCTCAGCGATGACCTGATCGAAAAATGACCTTTGTAGCGCGCAATTGTTTTGCTCGTGCCTGTTAGGAGGGTACCTGCCTACTGTTAACGCCAGACGCCTTGAGACCCTAATTTTTCGCGATTATTTTTAAATGCGTGGAAGAATTTCAACCAAGCTCAGGACATGGCCGTTTCAAGACCTGCCGAAACTTTTACAATTAAGATATTTTATCGCCATTTCAATATTTCAGGCACTTCTCATTGACTCGTAATGTTAAATTTCGAGCAAGATTTTCACCCGGTGTGTAGAGGCTATCACCAGTCAGTCTGTGATACGTTATGACGTCACAGCTAAGCCCCGCCTCTGTGGTCTTGGCCTGCGGCGGTTTCGGGCCGGCGCGCGGTCACTCTCGCTGTGGCGGGGAGCAGGGACGGTCGAGCGGTGCCGAAAGCCGGCGGAGTTGTGCGTAACGTCTTGGCTGACAGTGCCCAAAGAGCGACATGATGACTGAGGAGCCATAAATGCTCAATGCGCATTGTTTGTACAATGCTGATATGTTCGCTGATATTTGCTTCATTTTTTTTTTTTTTATAAGCTGCAAATGACAGGCAGATGGCATATAACTGACATAAGGTTAGGAAATATTCACCTGTATTTAAAGCCTATGGCGTTGCAGATAATGCGATAATGGGATGTCGGATGTTACCAAGTAGCTGCCGATTTGTACACGCTATGCAACCATCGAACAACGCAATAATAAGTTATTGCCTTCGCTTCACATCATAAGGCTCGCTCGTATTTCAAACAGATATCCTACATCGAAAATCGTATTTGTTAGGAATCGTTAACGTTTGTTCGAAGCACGTGTGAGTAGTAGGTTGAGGAGTGATTGTCCTCTTGGTCCTATATACAAGAGTCAACAAGAACCTAACATTTACTTGACCGTCTGCTGCAATTGATTCATAGCACGTGAAGCGTCAGCGAAATTCATAGTCCTTTACAGATGGCAGGGGTGTCGTTTGTACAGAGGTCGCTGATGGGCACGGGTCAATGCCGCAGTCGTGGGCGGAGCCTAATGTCATATGACGTATGAAAGCCTCTATCCAGGATGGAAAAAGTTAACATTACGAGTCAATGACAAGTGCCACAAACATTTAAGTGACAACAAAATGTATTTTAAGAAAAAGTTTCGGCAGGTCTTGAAACAGCTATTTCCTAAACATGGTTGAAATTATTCCACGCATTTAAAAATAATCGCGAAAAATTAGGGTCTCAAGGGGTCTGGCGTTAACAGTAGTCTAATGATAGTGGCCTCCTCTATATTGGAGCAGGTCCCTAGAATGTTATTTCGTGCTTCGTGAAACATTCAGGGGAAAACCGATGACAGAAAAACGAACTGTGCTACATCGAAATATCGTCCTCGACCCGGCTCAGTATTTCTACATATGTATATCCCGAGGATAACAGCGACTACGATAGGCGTTTGAGTTTGTCGCAAGGGGCGTGACTGTATCCCGCTGTGAGCAGCATATGGTGCAAGTCCGGCCTCAGTCACAAAGCCACTTTCTCAGACGTCGTGTGCGACTTAAGTGGCTAAGAATGTGGCTGCATGATACAATGCTTAACGAACTTTGAGTACATTTTCCCCATCACCGATTCATGACTGGCCACAAGGGTTTACAGTCGACGCATGCGCGATCGGCCGGATATCCCGCTATCAGAGATGGGGAACACGGTTAATTGAACGTTTCCATTGTGAAACGACGATAAATGTCTGGAGGAAGCCTAGCGCGACTGTTGCAGTACTTAAAACGGGACCTACGCGACCTTCAGAATGCTACCACTTGCACTGCTGGAAATACATCTCTCTGAGAGCCGGAGTTCGCAAACCACTCGGTTTCGGTAGACAATTACGAGTATTGCCGTTGTCATCCATGACCGGTAAAGGATCCGTATAACGTCTGTCTGGCAGTCTCCTGGTCAGTAACAGCATTTCTAATAGCGGTACATTGGGATAAGCCAGTGCCTAAATTCAGGTAAAAAGGAAAATATACCGATCTTTGCGAAGCATTAAGCTTTTTAGATCAGCAGGGTTAAAATACCAGCAACCGTTAATGATTTGAAACTGAAGTTTTGCAAGAGGCGTTTACCTACAGGACCAAATAAATTTCTGACATTCTTTCCACCGAACGTTTATAAATCCAGCGGCCTTTTTCCTGGCTACGAGGGAAAATTTCTAAAAAAATGTCCCTGTGCATTGACAGCGGTAGAGCCTTGTACCGGGTGGGCGGCACTGACCTGTCGACAGCCGTCCTGCACGGCCCGCCTCAGCGCCGCGTCCAGGCCGTCGAGCCGCTCCTCGACGCGGCGCACCCGCTCGCCGGCCTGTCGGTGCGCGCGCTCGGCCTCCGCCTGGACGGCGCGCTCAACGCCGGCCAGCAGGCGCGGCAGCAGCGCGTGCCACAGCTCGGGTAGCGCCTGCACGTGCGCGGCCACCACGGTGACCGCCTCGCGCACGTCTCGCTCCAGCTGGCGGCGCTGCTGGCGCTCGTGGTCGATGCGCTGCTCGAGCGCGGCGCTCTTGGTGCGCAGTGCGCCGCCGGCCGGGCCCGGCGCCGACTCCTGGCTCAGTCCCGACACGGCAGAGTCCTGGCTGGGCTCGGCGGTGCCCGAGGCGCGCGCCGCCGCCCCGCTCGGCGGGTCCGTCAGCCATCGACTCATCGGGTGGGGTGACACCTGGGGGGACACGGTGACAGCGGATATTGTCCGAGTCCGACATAGAAATGATAAAATTTTGATGGAAACTGAAAAGACGAGACGTGGTCTGACACAGTTGAAATGAATATTTGCGGAACTCACTCGCCTCAACGTGATGCTGAAATTGAAAGATTAGCCTTAACATATGAGAATTTGCATTATGCACGCCGAGTGAGCTGGCGTTTTTTCGACAATAGGCTGGTGCCGAGCCGGCTGTGCACGTCCATCCGTTTTACCTGCGACGGTGGCGCCTGTGAGAAATAGGTGCTCTGGGTGTCCTGGGAGGGCGGCGGCGGGTCACCGTGCTGTACCCGCTGCAGCAGCATGGCCAGCGGCGGCTCCGGCGGCGGCGGCTGGCCGTACAGAGGCGCGCCGCCCAGCCGCCCGGCCGCCATCGGCCTATCCATCGCCGCTGCCGGCCGCGCCAACACGCTGCCAGGCAGTGCAGCACGCGACGACTCCTGTGCGCTCTGCAACGACACACATAAATAGTACCCAATCAGCGTGCAAACTTATGCAATCATGCATGCTCTGTGTACGCTTGTGTGTACGTGCATGCATTCTACAATGTAAGTACAACCCTCGACTCACTGCGTGGAAGCCATCAGGCATTTAACCCTCGCCGGCCGAGGGGGGGCGGACGGGTGCCGCCCCCCATAGGGTTTTTTCGCGATAGCTCCGAACACGTTGGCGATAGAGAGCTGAAACTTGGCATATCTGACTTTTGATCCAAGCCGCATCTTTTGACACCAACCGCATTTTTGGGTCAGGTCAGGTCACTGACCTATGGCGTCATAAGTGAACCTCTGCACGGTCTTCAGATGTCGCAACTTCGCAACGCCCTCACTGCCAGAGGGGATGTCACAGGGAAATGAAACTTGCAGGATCTAGTATCCATTATGAGTCTCACAACTTGTATATCTCGGATTTTTCCTAAAGGTCATATGAGGTCAGGTCATTTTCGTGACCTCTCCAATCACCATTATAAGTCAATGGGGAAAAATGAAAACTGCTATTCTGGCGCCGGGAACGATCTCCAACTATCTCAAGCACACAGAATCGTGATTTGATGCACTCCTTGCAAGGTTAGATGCGTCACTTTTGCAATGTTGACCTTCCGTGACGTCATTTATGACGTCATCAAGGTCATATTAGTTTTTCGTCAATAACTCCCGATCAAATTGAGCTAGCGAGTCGAGAAAGCCACCAATGGACTCAGGAAGACCTGCCGAATCGAATGATATGCGACATGACCTCTTTCGACCAGCTTCGTGACCTTGGGGTGCTGACCTGACCTTGACCTGAGGTCAACACCCTAAATTGACCTGACTCGAACAAAAATTATATCATTCGACGCGCCTGAGCGAGGCGAACACGATGCTGCCAAAATCGCGGCTCTGCGGCCGTTTTTTGCGAAGTTATTCACCAAAAACTAAACCGTACCCTGGGGCACTTGACCTGACCTCAGAGGTCACCGGTTGACCTAGGACCTTAAAGTCGGGTACCAATCTCTGCGTCTCGTAACGGCGCACACGCTCGTTTTTTCCGCGACGCGCTAGCTCCACCAGGGGCGAAACGGCGAGGGGGGGGGGTCGTACCCGCCCCCCCCCCCCCCTCGGCCGGCGCGTATGTAGAAAACCAATAGGTCCGGCGAGGGTTAAGATAGACCTGAGAATTGTAAAATGCTATCAATGTTATCATTTTCAAGGAGGCCATACTACACTGGAACAACGGATAAATTGCTGCCCGGAGGGAAGAAACGGAAAAATTGAGGTGTAGCGCCGTAGGTATCATTTGTTCAAAATGCTTTTCTTAATAACTTTTGACAAAAAACTTGTATGATATTGATTTTACCAGCATCGTATTCCGAAACGCGATGCACGCGCCGATGCACTTTTCCGAGGTCAAAGTGTAGCTTTATTTGCTCCTGAGTGAGTCCTAAGCTTATTTGTCAAAGCGCTGGAATAGGTGAAATTTGACCTTTCACGACGTTTTGTGTCTGTCGGCCTGACCTTTGAATTTTAACCGTGCCTAAAAAGTGACAAAATCGAATTTATGCATGATTTCTTTCTCTCTCGAATGTCACCACGTACCGCTACGTGGCCCAGTGGCCAGTAGGCAGTAGGTATACCTAAATTTGAGTTAGGCGGGGCCCGGGGGGTGTTTTGGTCATGCACCCTCGTCTGTCCCTCGGGCCCTCGGCCAGGCGAAGGTGGCGTGTAGCCAGGCCAGAGTATATTGAGGGTACATAATACATATATTGCAGGGGCGGCGGATTCGAGGGGGCAGGGGGGGGGGGGCAGCTGCCTCCCCTGGCAAACTCGTGGGGGGTGGGGCAAAAGTATCTTTTTGCCCCCCCCCCAAAAAAAAATTGTGACATAACTTAGACAAGAAACCATATAGGTACCTGATTATTCTGTTCGATCATCTGAAGATGTAACCAGATGAGCTATACCTTATCATACACAAGCGTTCGCGTTCAATTAAAGTTTTCCTCTCTTCAACCTAGTTTTGGAGGCATTATAAGCGTCAACGTGACGCAGCGCGGCAACCCAAGCCTTCAGTGACCGCTTACACGGGCGACGGATACGGGGCGGCAGAGGCATCGTTCCCTAAGAAACTTTTGGAGGAGGGGCAAACGTAGTATTCTTGCCCCTCCATAATTTGTGCCCTAAACATGAAAATTTCCATAGCCTGATATTGCAGCTGCCAGCTATGCGCTCCTACAGTTTGTCCAACGGTGCCTTTTGAATATCTGTAAATGCTAACCATTTCCGCTTTATAGCTTTTTTTTTGTCTTTTCAGATTCGATTTAGAGATATTTTAAGTGTGCAAGAGACGCAACTCATACCTTCAGTGGTCGTTAGCCGCTATTTTGTACCTATGTAAGTACATAAATGCCAAATCGCAAGCGAGCGGAGACGGAAGGGCTAGCCATTCGCTTGCGGGTGGTTGACTGATGAGTGATGAGCGCTCGTAATAAGCCACTTCCCTGATTTTTTTTCGAGCGCAACAGTTTCCAGTGCATAAAATGGTAAACGCCGAGGTCGTACGCATTGACCACATTGACCAATGCACGGTATGACACCCAAAGGCCAGTCATCAGAGATCTGCTTTGGGCATTCGGAGGCTTGTGTGGGGCCAGTGTAAAAACTGGATGTTCACAGTTCGGTATCCGCTTTATTTCAGTTTTCACTATTAAATAAGTAAAAATTAATGTTGGAAACTTTTGAGGGTTAGGGCACTGATCATTAGTGGGCCCCCTCTGGCTAAAGGCTGGCTAAAGAATACAGAGCATCGAACACGAAAGCAAAATCTAAGGCATTTTGGAAAAATGAGTATGCCCCGCAGCGTCCGATAACTACCACCTTCCAGTGGATCAAGCCAGCGTAACGATAGCATAACGATCAAGCTTAACGATAGCACTAACCTTGTCTCACTTTTCGTTGAAGTCTGTTCCGAATGGTTTCGGCTACAGACTGGCTGCACTGAGGTCGTCTGGTATGTGCATGCTGTAATTAAAGCCACCTGAGGCGCCCTGACACCATGGCTGAAGCTGGTTTGGAAATGCTTCGTCTTTGCAGATATCACTGGCCGCTGATTCTCGAGTGCCTGAACCGGTAGATGTCGTGGCAAAATTTGGTGTGATAATTTGGACCTTACCGCAGTCAGCGCACCCTAAAGCCCTAATAAAGAAACGCCCCAGCCAGAGCTTCTGGATTCTCGTTCCAGTCCACCGTTCCTTCACCCTAGCCCGCCGCCGCGCTCCCTCACCTCAGCCCTCCGTTCCCAGCTTGACGAGCGTTTGGCCCTTAGTTAATAGGCTTACTGCATAAACCCATCGAGACAGCCCGTCTTGGTGAGCTTAGTTGGCGAACTACTGCCTTGGGGTGGGTTTCTGTCGGATCGCTGTCCCAATAGGTTTAGATGCGACCGACTGTCTCTGAATGTTTGAGCGGTCTCCTCCTGCTGTGAGCTAGTTTCAGTTGATATCTGTCTCAGAAATACTTTTTAAAGGAAGGTTAAACGGAAATCGAACGTAAAATGAACAGAGGAAATGGTAACGAGTTACCTCATTGAAGAATAGCGCTCGCCTACTTCAAAAGGTTTGGCACCGTTCTTCAACATCTGATATGCGATCGGGTTATGGCACAATTTTTCCCATTGGAGCTTTTTTCTAATACAGCAATACGAAAATCGTTACATCGTCCACTGGCGGATCCAGGGAGCGGACATTTAAAGCAAATATTTACTCCCCCTCCCCCTCCATCGCCCGAAATAGACAAAACGTACCTTATATTTCCTAATAATAAAACTTTTATCAGGAATTTTTTGCTTTATACTGCACAGCAGTATAAAGGAATCGAAATCCGAGGATTTTTTTTATTACGGAGCGAGCGAAGCGAGCGGAGTCTTTCCTTAGATTAACGGAAATTTCTGAGTATGAGCGGCCGGCCGCTTTTGCGAGGCTTATATCTCAGCAACCACTTGACCGATTTACATGCGGTAATTTTTGTAGGGTAGCTTCATTCCTTCTACCAAGTATTGGACTATTCCCGATGCATGTGGGTGACCCCTTATGCACGTGCCACGTGCAAAACGAATAGGTGTCAGTTTTGTAATTGTTGCAATATCTCGGTAACTACTTGGCCGATTGCGCTGAAAGTTGGCATGTAGGTAGGCACCCACTAAGCACTGCATATCCATGTGCCAGAGTTGGGGTGCTGCTGCACGTGCGCACGTGCAGGGGTCGTTTCCAGATCTCGAGAACGGCTCGACCGATTGCGCTCAAATTTGGTACACAGGTAGGGACCGGTTAGTAGGGTGCCGTGCATAAGTCAGTTGGGACCCATTTTGCACGTGCGCACGTGCAGGTTGCCGCTTCCAGATCTCGAGAACGGCTGGGCCGATTGTACTCAAATTTGGCACATCGCTAGAGACCGGTTAGTAGGGTGCCGTGCGCAAGTCATTTGGAGGTACCCCCTCGAAATTTCGCACGTGCAAGGCTCACCCTCTCGCCCGCTCCGTTAGTCGCCACAAAAGGCGTTATACTGGTTTTAGATACTTGGGGGGGGGGGGTATACCCCCTGGCCCCTACAGCGTCGAAAACGCCTTTCTGGATCCGTCTATGACATTATCTCGACTGGGATCTTGCCCCCCCCCCCCCCCCACGCCAAAATCGAATCCGCCGCCACTGATATATTGAGTATGTAGCCAGGCGCCACGGCTTTCTCCTCGCAGTCACGCTCAGAGACCAGTGTGGCAGCGACATATGGCCTTGGCGACAGCCACGGTCCCCGGCCACGGACGTCGGACCGTAGGTCTCCAGCCTGGTCACTGGTGTCTAACCAAAATGCATGCTTTATCCATACGTAGCCTTGCCCATGCGGTATTTATCGCCCTGCTATATGCACATAGGGGAAAGAGGGTGAATTGCGCCACCTTAAGGAAAAACGCTAATTGTAAGAAAACCGCTGGAGATATAAGCATGCACTAGTAACCATTTCAAAGAGGAACTCATTGGCTACGATTTAAGAGCCTCCCGATCAATTAAGAATGTTTCGTTTGCTTCTGATAGCTGCTTTTTCAGAAACATGCAAAAGGGCGCATTTGCCAACAACTGCTGTAAATTGCGCCAGGGGAATGGCGCAATTAGAACCCAATTGCGCCCTATACTTTAACATGGCTAAGCGAATGAGACGGAATGCATACAACCCCGGCAGTCTAATGTCATTGCGGCTTACTTAAACATTTATAATGTTATTCAGGCTGGATAAATAATAAATGTAGATATAAATCGCGATGTTTTTTGCCCAGGTAGATAACTTTACATGTGTCCGTACGCTTGTAAAAGTGCAACGAAAACGTTTACTGTAACCGACTAGATACAGGGTGGAAAGTAATTACGCGAACATGTATTTTCTTACAATTTTGACCGTCAGTGGAGCATTTTTATGAGTACGGGCTGTCATGGAACATAATTGGTCGTGTTTGTTGTCGCCTCATCTACCAAAAGTGACCTAACTTTGAACAATGACCTGGAAGGTCTTAAACAACCTCTCGACTTAAAATGGTGCAGACACCATACGCTGCACAAGACCGAAATGGGCAAAGAGCTCAATTTGGAGCTGCCAGGGAAAGCGTTTGTGATTATTTTCGCTGGACTGGCGGAGAAGGGATTCGTAGCGGTCTCAGCACCAGCATTGCACAATTATACGTTTTTCTTTTTAACATAATAACACTTGAGAGGACTTAAAAAGCAAAGCCGTCCGCGGCAGCAACCCCTCGGCGAATTCTGTCGCCGGATGGGTGGTCACCATGTCGGCGACAAAACGACGCCAGTCGACCCGAAAACTGGCAAAATAGCTTACTCTGGCCAGGTACCCGATCTAGGATATCACGATTCGCACATTAATACGCAAAAATTCGAAAATTAAGTCGTACAAGCCCTCGGGATGACCAAAATTCACGAATTAACAGCAGAATTGTTAATTAAAGCTTTTCAAAGACCATCAAAGATGGACAGAGGACAGGCAGCTGGATTTGTGGTTGGGTGAGACATCTGTGAAACTGTTTCATCCGTCAAACCTGCAGAACAACTGCTCTGAGGGCAGCTGTTGCGTCCTATGTCCCGTCCGTCCCAACCTTCAAACATCCGGCAAAGGTTGTTAATAAACTCCAATAAACTCCATCCGGCAAAGGAACACATCAGTGGGTCACGAGCCCCCGGGTGGTGTCAGAATTGCGTGTAGCGCTAAAAAAGGTCACTAAAAATAAAGTATACAACCGGTGGAACATCCTCCAAGACGAGTGTCTCTGTCTAATCCACCGTGCAACGAAAGGGGCAAAATGATTGAGCGCACTTTTGTGCCCGACGCAAAGAAACTGCTCTTCGTGATTGGTGAAATCCTTACTTTCACGGCCAACAAAACGCAATACTGGTGCTGTGAGAACCTGTTTTTCTTCAGGACATACAAAAGCTGATCTGGGAAACGCCTGGGCCTCAATTCGACTAAAAATCTCCAGATGACTCCTCAGGAGACCGTCTAAAAGCTGCAAGGAGCCACCAATACCGATTACCTCACTGGACAGCTCTATAAGGTGTGGGCTGAGCTTTGGCCGACAGATCTTCACAGTTCACATGCTGATGTAAATCATGCCGGAACGCCTATGTCAATGCATCGCAACTAGATAAGGATAAAATAAAGTAAAACATATATTGTTTATGTCACCGCCGTTTTTTTCATTACTAGAAGACGAAAAAGTATGTTCGCGTACCTAATTACTTTCCACCCTGTATATGTGAACGTATGCGCCTATACGGTTAAATTTTCAATCGTTTCTATCAAAATCAATAATTTTTTATCGTTTCGACAACTTTATGACATCAGTTTTTACTTTTTTTATCATAGCTGTCACCTCTCACGCCTGATTCCATGTTGAAAATGTCGTATTTTGTCAATTACACCACAAGTTCGTAGCCTAAATGCACGGAATATATAGTCTACGACATATATACTGTCGAATATATATACTGAATATACTGTCGTAGACTATATATTCCGTGCTAAATGGCTGCTGCATTATAAGTTTGACGAGAGAAATAATTTGCGGACTGACGACAGCGGGTTGCTCCCCTGCCTGACATTAAACTCCTTCTTATAATTGCAATCAGTTACTGATGCATTCATTCATATGGTTATATAGCCTTGATTCATACTATAGCTACACCATTATTACATTTGCGCCCCCCTGGCGCAATTGCCATGGGCGCAATTAAAATTGAGGTACTTTTTATAAAAGCGTAGAAGTTATCATAAAGATGCTGAAGGAAGTTTACTGTTTCAGTGAAATATAATGAAAAAAAGGTTTTTCTTTCTAAATATCACTCTGAAAATCACACAAATATCGCAAATTTCTATAGCCAACGGTTTAAAATGCTGCAAAAAAACTAAGAAAATGCCGTAACATCTTTGATGGCGTAATGAGCCTTGCTGATTGGCTTCATCGGAGAGCTTGGACCATAAAATGAACTATCCAGTGGTGAAAATAATGTTTTTGAACACAAAATTCTAAACATGCCATTGATTCCGTGGGAATGTTGGTGGGCGCAATCGGCGCAATTGGTTAGGAGGGCGCAATACACCCACTTTCCCCTACCTATATTGTAAATTGCCAGACTGGCCGAAGAGTTAAATAATAAATGTGCTCCATCAAATTTCTCAATGGGGCATGGATTTCATTCCTAGTCTGAGTCCTACATACAGGTCCTATATCAATATCAATATGCTACTGATTTACTGGTCGATAAAATATTAGACGAAACACTCCCAATCCATACCTTTCTCCACGGCTCCGCCGAGAAGGTATTCACAATCAATAGCAAAATCGTACGCAATTTTTTGATATTTTGTAAAAATAAGACAATTCAGTGAAAGCACGAACCAACGAACTGCTAAACGCTTACATTTTGATTTTGCCAATCACTTCGCAATTTTGCACAAATTTTGCACAAGTTTTCAAGCTGTCTTCTGCTTGAGTTCTCGGATTATAATAACTATTTTTCATTTTGTGTTATTTATTTACACTGTGAGAGAACCAAAGTTATTTTGTTGTAAATGATGCTTAAAAACAAAAGATTTGCAAGGTAAAAAAATTTAAACAAGTAACAAAAAGTTATAAAATTCAATTATATTGGATCAAGTAATCAAAGTTCTAGAAATTGCGTCTGTTTCGTCGATAAGGAATTTAATATACACAGTCTGTATAGCGTATTTGGAATTTCCGACCTCGACGAGCGTCTGTGGTAGAAAACCACCACTTTGGTAGGGGAAATTACTGCTGTCTGCTACCGTTTGCACTGCATGTCTCGCTGTAGTTGCGACCGATTGCGACATCTATGCAAGTCAGCAAGGGTACGTACCTTAGCGATATACGTACTTTATAATTTACGTACTTTTTCGATGCGTATTTTCTTCTTTGACGTACTTTTGTCTAGGTAGGGTAGGGTGGGGCAAAGCGCCCACCCTAACTTTCCAGCCCCAGTATCTCTTTATCTTACAAATTTGAAAGACAACTAGGTAGCTGATCTGGTAGCTCATTACCTTGGCTTTCTTCGAATAACACATCAGAAACAAGTGGCATGCATGGTTTTTGAGATATGCCATCCGAATTGAGAGGACTACAAATCGGGCGTTTTGCCCCACCCATGGGGCATAACGCCCATATGAGTGGGGCATAACGCCCAGTCCTGAACGTTTCATTACACGCTCGGTACTCTGACAAAAGAATGCAGTATTTATCCATTCTCATTTCGTTTGACTTTAAATCGATAGATTACACCACTAAACACATCTTGAACACTGTTGTTACCACCCCACTCCTCATTCAGTCAACGGGCTGTCACCGCCTTGGAGAGCGGAGATTAGTTCGTGCGAATAAATTGTTCCAGGCGATACTAACCAGTATATTGCATATTTCATAAGAATCCTGAGCATTAGAAACGTATCCCGACACTCACTTTCAGCCAAAAATGTTCGCAAATACCCGTACTGTATAACTCCCATTAGGGGTAAAACGCCCATGATGGGCGTTTTGCCCCACACCAAAGTGGGCGTATTACCCCAACAGCACATTCAAAACGAAGTCCACCAAAATTAAGCGTGTGACGATTGTGTTGCAAACCAGTAAATGCTCAAAACATAGCTTAAATCCGCAGGTTCTGCGTAGCTAAATTTCATTGCCTACTTTAATCTCTATCAGACAAAGTTTTAGTAGTATGAAAACATGTAGGGTAGCCTGGGGCAAGACGCCCCAGATAATTTATTTTGCTACATAACTTTTGTCTCACATCACCTGGAAGGCCAAATTTGTGCTCAATGCGTTCTTTGGACATTTTACTTTAAATTCCATCCCTCAAATTCATTCACTTATGATCGGACTCCTAGCTAGGAAGTGATTTGTGAAGCAACTGCAAATGGGGCATTTTGCCCCAACCCCAGGGCAAAACGCCCCACGGCCTGGGGCAAGAAGCCCCACACTCTAGATTAAAGATTAAACATGCTAGCTGACTAAATCTTATATGAGAGGTCGGTTAGACCTTGGGAAGCACGGCACTGAAGTTAGCACCTTCCATCCTGTCATGTGTTCAGCTATGGCACTATTGAATGTACAGGTTTTTCACCTGCCTCATAAGGCCAAATAATAAATTATTGCAATGGAAATGTTAACAAAATACTTCCTTTGCCATCCAGTTACTGAGAAAAGTGCATATAAATGCATAGAAACTTACTGTTAGCAAGCTACCGAACATTAGGAAGTGGGTAGTCCGAACAACACATGAGGTAAAACGCCCCATGGGGCGTTTTGCCCCGCGACCTACTGGGGCGTTTTACCCCATCACGTAGTTCGGTCAGAGAACAACGCCTTGCACTCCAGCAAGGCATAATTTAACACGAACCAACCCGGCATTATAAGCGTTAGATAAAGTTGTTCAAAATACATAAAAGTCGTTAACCTGATGTGGACCATAAAAGAACGCCATGATGCATAAGCTGACAACAAAACATAAAAATCACTCCAAAAACACATTTTTAGCTATATCTCCCTAAAGAGTCATCACAATTTATTTCCAGTCTGCTGATATAATGATCGTATAGTGCACGTTTTATAGAAGAGATGATGTTTCTCCAGAACCTTGCCAGTTCCGAGAAACATCGGTGAGGCGTTTTACCTCGGCGGGGCGACTTGCCCCGGTCTACCCTAATTTCTAAAAATTGTCTGAAATAAACTAATCTTTATCTTACGTCCAGAACAACCCACTTGTAGAACCGAAAAAGGGGGCAAAAGTAGATTCCTGCTCGTTCTTGAAAATGGCTATCGAGGATTCTTCGAAAAGTCGAGCACTTCATAAAAAAGAGGGGTGGGCGTTTGACCCGCCCTGGGCGCTTTGCCCCACTCTACCAAACTCTACCCCCCACTCTACCTATGCGTACTTTGTACTGTACGTACCTACCTCTGCGATACGCCTACTTCTGTCCTTGACGTACTTATTCCATACGTACTTTATACTCGACGTAGGTACTTTTGCGATACGTACTTTTGCCCTTGACGTACTCTTGTCCATACGTACTTTATGCTGTACGCACTTTTACGATATGTGCTTTTGTCCTTGACGTACTTTTGTCCATGCGTACTTAATAATGCACCTATATACGTACTTCTTCGATACGTACTTTTGTCCTTGACGTACTTTTATCCATTCGTGCTTTATACTGTACGTACTTTTGCCACTATGCGTACTTTTGTCCTTGACGTAGTTTTGTCCATGCATACTTTATACTGTACGAACATTTGCGATACGTACTTTTGTCCTACGTGCCAGGGGCGTCGCCACATATTTTCGACAGGGGGGACGCGGATCGGCCGACTAAAAACCCAAAATAAGGTATCGTTACCGTACTTTTTCAGGCCGATGCACTATCAGTTCAACGATACTGGGCTGAATTCCTTATTCCTACGCGGTACGCGTCTGAAGTATTCATTTTTACACGGGTAACCATAGCCTCCGGTCTTCTATCAGGGTATAATTGTTGACACATGCCGTCAATCTGATAGTTAACTGTTAATGTATACATCATACGTGGTGGTTGCTTTAGGTATTTGTCACAACTCTGAACTCATAATCTCTTTTGGTCTCCAGTATGAATGGGCGGCGCGGGTCGGCGCGAAGCGCCGCGAGATTTTCGTCGAGGTCGGAAATGTATATGCATAGATGTCGCTACAATAGCTTGACATGCAGTGCAAATTGTAGCAGACAGCAGTAGTTTCCCCTACCAAAGTGGTGGTTTTCTACCACAGACGCTCGTCGAGGTCGGAAATTCCAAATACGCGTCTGTATATCTATGGTTGGCCTCATATTGCGTAATCGTTTTGCGTCTTTTTCCCTTTTTTCGTTGGTGCATAAATCCTTACTGGAAAATAAATTATTAAGCAAGTATTTTAATCGATATAAATGTGTTCTCTATGATATGTAGAATAAAAAATATACGGACAAAATTTCGGTTCTGTGACCGATTTTTCTTTCTGTTTTCTTTAAAACTATAGTAAAAACTAAACCTTGAATATCTTGACAAATGTGCTATACACGTAAATTCAAAACAACACAGCACGGTCGCCACTGTCGCGATTTTACATTATATTGAACAATTTAGAGGAGAAGTCTAACATCTCTCACTAGACTCCATAATAAGGTAAGAGGACCATAAATCAGCAATTCCAATTCACAGGTAGTGCACTGTGCTTGTCAGCGATGCTGTTGTTGAAGTCTTCATGTCAATTTAGCGTAAAAAGTGCTGTGAGTATTCAGCTCTTGTGTCACTTTTCCAGGCTATAAATAGGACGACGGTGAAAACAGGGCGCCTGGGGCGATTTGATCAAGGTTCGTGAAATTCACAGGTGACGTTTAGCATGTAGAAGGCCCACCCAGAGGGGGAGAAGTTCCAAATATCACGTGACTAATATGCCCTCCGGCGCCCTGTTTTCACCGGCGTCCTATAAATAGTGTTTTCTTACCTTTCATGTTTTTATTTTGCAAATCCCTGCAGTCCTTAGAGTGTGCTGAAGGCTTGTGCTACTAGCAGGTCTTAGTAGGTAACCCAGGCTGCAAACCAGAATTCAGAATGGAAAAATCCATGTTACTGTTGACATGCCCGGCGTAACGGTAGATTACAGCAAAACTTCAGTGTGGCGTCGAGCGTAACTGTGCATGCCAAAATTAACATTAAATCAGTTGGGCAAACTGCAGGGAGGTAATCTAAATATAGATTGATCAGAATTTAGATTATTCTATGCCCATATTTGGGCATTTGTGCAGTCCTCTGCAGAAACAGCTGTGTAGTGGCCAAGGAGTAACAGAATCACACCACTCTTTCACAAAGCACAGTTAACATCTCAAACTGCCTCTGAAGCACCAAAACAGCTCTGAGAAAAAAATTGGGGTTCCTGAAATATGATGGGGAACATGATCTAAATTAAGATTAAAAATCCAGCCTCAATGGGCGAATAATCTATATTCAGATTATGTCATCAGCTGACTAATCTTTATTTAGATTACACAATCAGCTGACTAATCTTAAATTAGATTACATTCAGCTGGCCTAATCTAAATTAAGATTACATATCTAGCATCCAAGAGGGTAGGCATAAAGGTTAAACCCTAGCATTATAATCTGACAGTGTAAGGCACTGGAATGTCACGTCCTGTGCAGGGAAATAGAGCCAGTCTAACGTAGAATAGAAAAATACAGCACATTACCTGGCTTTCTGTAAGTATATTTAAGCTATTTTAGAAAATAAAACACAGAAATATGCAATCAATATTTGTTTTTATTTAAGCTCAAAAGTCTACTCAAGGTATATAATGCCATGTGAATGTGGAATACCAATGACCTGGCCTAACAATGATATCATCTCACAACTTTTCCTGTAACACTTCCCGTAACTACGGAGGGACCTACGGCACTTTATAAAGATAAAACTACCTAACTTGTTTGATTTCCGCAATGATGTCATGTATTGCAGCCCTGTTGGGCTCTGACTGGGGTTCCGGGCATGCAACTTTGAATAATTCATACTTCTGAGTTTCGGGTTAAAATACCCATATAGCATTAAAGGCATTGAAAATATAAGCCAAAACTGCACCCCAAACCACAAACACACAGACTGTCATTTCAAGGAAAAATATAAATAATCAAAATTCAGAATTATTTCTGGAAATATGACACCATAATACAATGTTTACATTTTCAGAGAAGTGTCCCAGCAACTCATTTCAACTCTCTCAGACAAAGGTTTATAATGAATTGGCACCAACTATTCAGGATGTGTTGATTGATGTCCTAAGTTGTCAAAATTAACAAAAACATGCCATGCCTGACAATATTTTGTCAAAAAAACTAGGTTGAAATGAATGGGGGTGCAGCTGAGTCACCTTCATAACAACACACTCACCGGTTTTGTACGCCAATAACGCATTAACGCCACACTTCTACCACCAAAATTTAATTTTGCTGGGTAAATAAGATGTTACCATTATTTTGGTACCACTTTGGCACCATTCCATCGAAAAATACGGGCGGGAAAAAATTATTACCGAGAGGATACACAACGCCACGGACAGAGCTAGATCGCGGCCGTAAATCGCCGTAGCCGAAATGAAATAAATGCGTTGTATTATACGCATTTTTTCATAGTGAGATTGAATAATTGAATATTTCATATCTCAGAACTGCCGAAAAACCTTTCTTAACTTTTAATGACTACGATAAAAAGGAGTAAAAATAGATTAATGTATTTGCCCGTTCAGCGGTGACCTTGACTATTCACCACAGTATATAGGGCCTTGCTATTCACGTCATAACTCCCAAAGTCCAATCTCAAATGTGCTGGCCAGTTCGCAATCTGTAGGATCGAGTTTTGTCTGTCACTCAACAAAAAAGATATCGTGGTTATGAGCAGTTCTTCGATGGTTATGGGGGGTTTGAATGAGGACATGTCGGAAATATAATCTAAATATTGATTATCGCTCCTTATATGGTCATCGCTCCGCCCATTTTGGTGACGTCATAATCTCAAATTAGATTAATCTTAGTTTAGATTACCTCCCTGCAGTTTGCCCGACTGAAATGATAAAGACGAAGAAGTTTCGGTGCAAACTCTAAACGGACAATTTCAGGAATTTTAATGCAAGATGGCAAGACCAATCTTAGCTACCATCACTCACCACTTACTGCACAGTGCTCTCTGCATTCAAATCATAAACCGTTGGGCACACTGTGGTATATGTGGTTCGTTTATTGAAATGCTTCCGTTTTTGGAATGTTTTTCCAAAAATAGAAATGCTGGAAACCAATTACTATCAAAAATAAAAACACTCAGTTTCCATTTTTGGAAACACAACTTTACAGTAACCTGAGGGGTGTTCACGGGCACCGCACACTGCTGCGTGCGGTGTGTGCGGTGCGTCCAGCAGGCGTGGGGGTAGGGGATGGGTAGGCGGTTCTGACGTCACGGCTGCATGCGGTGGACGGTCCGCTGTGGCCAGTCCCGACCGGCCACAGCGGTCGCTGTGTGCGGTGACGGAAGGCTGACGTAGGGACGAAGTGGGCGGAGCTTCGAGGCTGTGTGCGGTCCGACCGCACACAGGGCCCGTGAACAGCCCTCTGTTTGGCATTGTGCACACTTTGCTGCTTAAATGAGCAGAAAAGAAAGCCCAAAAATATTCAAATGAGATCTTTCACTCTAGAGTATCTAATATATTTACAAATGCTAATGGAAATGTGGTAGCAATGGGTGGTGACTGGTGACACTGTGCAATATGTGAAATCCTGGGACATCAATGCTGGCAAAAATAGCAAATTTTAATGCCAAAGCTTTATTTGATTTGATTTTCATGTCTGCTGACACCCACAACAAAAGTTTGTTGCAATCTGCGTTGAAAGTGCCGCTCATGCAAATTGCAAGCATGAATAGAAAAGAATAAAAAATAAGGAAGAGCTTATTAAAAACTATAGCTCAGAATGTCTTACCAAAATTATTCTATCATATTCATAAGTGTTGGCAATTACATTTGATGGTGATGACCGCTATGCTTATTGCTTATTAGTCCCACCGTGCTGCAGTTACCCCAAGGCCCAAGGGTTGAGGGGGCGGGGGCAGAATGACATCTGTCACGTGATCGACACCGGCACGTGATGGACCCGTGTTCTTTGAGTCCACTCCGTGGTCGTGTCGGCTACCGCGCTGACAGACCGACGTAAAGGTCACTCAGGCTAGAGACGGCTTCTATTAGCAATCGCTATCGATAGATTACCTGCATGAAGTGTGGTGTGGGGGCGAATGGTATTTTAGAGGTGTCGAACTGTAAAACCAACGAAGATCATTAGTAAGAATAGGATAGATAGCAAGCAAGCTAGCATTTGTGCTTGCTCCCAAAAACGATAATGCCTGTGATTTTTAGCAGTGTTGACACTTCAACCAAACAGTACTGATTCGCTTTCACTGTGTTTGAAAGGAACATAAACCTGTGACGCTCTTCCCAATCTCGGAACTCGGAGGCTCCCTAGTAGTGTAGAAGTTATCGGAACAACATCCCATTTATAGTCGCATTCCTGAGCAATAAAATATGCAGCGTCATTTTATTTCGGACTGCATCAGCTCCCTATGTAAATAACGCCCGCAGGGCGTGACACGCTGACACATTCCTCGAACCCCAGGCCCTCGAATCTCCGCCGCCGCTGACCTGTGCCCATTTTCTTCGGCAGAACTCCGCCCGCCGCGCGCCGCGCCAGCTGGTCGTGGCAGCGATGGAGGTGTCGGCGCCCTCCTCACTCACCTACCGGGTGTTTTTCGCGGCGCGAGACGGCCTCACGATCACGCTGTACGCCCTGCTGGCCGATAAGCCGCCGGACGCGGTGCGACGCGCGCTGAGTCAGGCCGTGGAGGACGGCGGCCAGCGCTGCGCCGCCCTCCTGATCGCCGCTCGCAACGGACACAACAAGACGGTGAAGATGCTGCTGGAGAAGTTCCGGGCCGACTTGGAGCAGGAGGGGCGCGTCAAGTTTGACGACTTCACCATTGATGGTGCCAGCCCGCTGTGGTGTGCGGCCGGTAAGTAGGAGAGCTGTACCGGAGGGGGGAGGGGAGATGCGGCATAAGGTTGTCAATGGTCAGTGATAGGTCGAATAGTCTGAAGCGCTTCGGTATTTGATATAGATTGAACCCGAGCGCTATAAAACAGCATTGTCATTATCGAAAAAAAAAATAATGGTGGGTTGAAGAAGATAATTCTTGCATGTCAAGTTTACAAAGAGGCTTCCAGCCTCTCCAATGTCTTGTTGTGTGATATATTGCTGTGCTGTGTTTCTGTCTGTCTGCTGTGTGCTGTGACCGCCTCAATAATGACGTCGGTGGGGTTGACCTCTCCTCCCGTTCCCTTCCCCGCCGCTCTGTCAGGCGCCGGTCATTTCGCCGTGGTGCAGACGCTGGTATCGGCCGGCGCGGACGTCAACCACCCGACGGCCACGTTATCGACGCCGCTGCGGGCCGCCTGTTTCGACGGCCGGCTGGACATTGTCCAGTACCTGGTGGAGCACGGCGCCGACATCCACCTGGCCAACAAGTACAACAACACCTGTCTGGTGAGGGGCTGCACAGGGCGGGGCTGGGGGCTCGCCACCGTTGGGTACTAAAATGATCGCAGTGTTGGCGATGAAAAAATGTTTGTTTCGACGGGTTCGTTTCTTACATCATGTCACATTTCGGCATATTGTTACGGAGCGAGCGAAGCGAGCGTAGTCTTTCCTTAGATTAACGGAAATTTCTGAGTATGAGCGGCCGGCCGGCCGTGGTCACGCTTTTGCGAAGCTTATATCTCAGCAACCACTTGACCGATTTACATGCGGTAATTTTTGTAGGGTAGCTTCATTCCTTCTACCAAGTATTGGACTATTCCCGATGCATGTGGGTGACCCCTTATGCACGTGCCACGTGCAAAACCAAGAGGTGTCACTTTTGTAATTGTTGCAATATCTCGGTAACTACTGGACCGATTGCGCTGAGAGTTGGCATGTAGGTAGGCACCCACTAGGCAATGCATATCCATGTGCCAGAGTTGGGGTGCTGCTGCACGTGCGCACGTGCAGGGGTCGATTCCAGATCTCGAGAACGGCTGGACCGATTGCGCTCAAATTTGGTACACGGTTACGGAGCAGTTAGTAGGGTGCCGTGCACAAGTCAGTTGGGACCCATTTTGCACGTGCGCACGTGCAGGGTGCCGCTTCCAGATCTCGAGAACGGCTGGGCCGATTGTGCTCAAATTTGGCACATCGCTAGAGACCGGTTAGTAAGGTGCCGTGCACAAGTCAGTTGGAGGTACCCCCTCGCAATTTCGCACGTGCAAGGCTCACCCTCTCGCTCGCTCCGTTAGTCGCCACAAAAGGCGTTATACTGGTAATATTGGATCGATTTAATGCAACCTTCTTACATATACCAGGATTGTGTGATTTCTAAATAAGTCACTGAAATATCGACCCAGCTCAGGCACTCAGTCACGCGTTGTGTGCTGGACCTATTTCACACAGTTTCCGGTATTGCGACGCACCCCTGTTCCTCCGTCAGATGATATCGGCTTTCAAGGGTCACGACGACATCGTCGAGTACCTGGTGTCGCGCGGCGCCGAGCTGGACCGTCGGACCAACTGCGGCGCCACGGCGCTGCACTTTGCCGCCGAGAGCGGGCACGTGTCTATCGTGCGCCTGCTACTGGCGCGCGGCGCCTCGCTGCTGCCCAACGAGCTGGGCCTGACGCCGCCGCTGGCAGCCGCCGAGCGCACCCAGGAGGCCGCCGTCCGGCTGCTGCTCGAACACTGCCCGCTCACCGTCGCCGAGCGCATCGACGTGCTCGAGCTGATGGGAGCCACGTTCGCCAACGACAAGGACAACTACAGTCTGGAGCGGTCCTACGAGCTGCTGCGGGAAGCGATGGTGCTGCGCGAGGCGCACGGCGTGCCCAAGCGGCCCGGCTCGCCGGTGGCCGCCTACCAGAACCACCGCGAGTGCACCAGTCTGACGGAGCTGGAGGCGGCACGCGCCCAGCCCGACCTCCTGCACATGGAGAGCCTGGTGATCCGCGAGCGCGTGCTGGGCACCGCCAACCCGGAGATCCCGCACTCGATCATATACCGCGGCGCCGTGTTCGCTGACAGCGCGCGATTCGACCGCTGCCTGGAGCTGTGGCAGCGAGCGCTCACGCTCAAACAGGCCACACGCACCTCGGCTGCTAAAGATCTGCTTCGGTTCGCACAGGTGAGCGTTACAGGGACTGTGGAGTCACTGGGCAGGAATGCTAGCCTACCAGCCTGGAATAACTGATTTTCTTGCGTGTTTTTAGATAAACATTTTCCGTTGGTGTATTTTATCAACGTGTGAATGTGAAGGCTGTTTTCGAAATCGTGTTTCTTGTTTTGGACATTTTTCGTCGTTCTTAGGTATTTGTGTTGCACGTGTTTTCCTAACCCCGTGTTTGTGTTGTTGCAGGTGTTCTCTCAAATGGTGTTTGTGGGCGTGTCGTTTTCGTTCAGCTGTCTGGTGCAGGTGCTGGCCTCCTGTGTCCAAGAGATCGAGTTGAATCTCAGCAAGATCGCCAGTCCCGGACCCAAGGATGATCCCGCCGCGCTGCAGGTGGGTCCCGATAGATCATCAAGGCTTCAGCTTTGTTTGCCTGGTCTCACGTTACTTAGTTTGTGCTCAAACAGCTCTCATTTAATTGCTCTAGAATTCCGGACTCTTAATCGTCTTAAGTGTCGTTTCGTTTCTGCCCCTCACGGTCTGCCGTCTCCCCCATATTCTCAGGACGAGCTGGAGGGCAACATGACCACGGTGTTGTACATGCTGATGATTGCCAACCGGCTGCTGCCGTCCGCCACCGCCGACCAGGAGCTGGACGTGTGCCGAGCAGGATACAGGTCAGTCTGCGCTGGGACAGGGAATCAGAATGACCCTGGCGGTTGAAACTCCCTGAAATCTATAAAAAAAAAAACAGGTGCCGCTGACAGTGCTTGGCGAGCCAAATCAGGTCTTTGACGGTAACCGAAGGTTTGTTGTCAATAGTTAAAACACTATTCTTTAGAATTGTGTTTTTCTATTGAAAAACAAATCTGAGTTCCCTGACAATTTGGCAAAAGCTGCCTGAGATCAGTACAACTTGATGCTCTAGAAAACGGCTGCTCCAAAAATTCTGATTTTTTTCAGGATTTCTAGTGGGCCAGGTGATCTACGTTCTGGTATGGGTCTCCCCTCCGCGGACCATCTGGTGCACGTGTGTTAAGCCAATGGGCAAAATGAAAAAATGCGTTCCACGGCAGATTGCTCGAAAACGATCCAAACGACCCCCCATTTTCTTCCATGCGGATCAACCACCATTCGGTGCACTACCCATGGGTATGTCGCAAAGTGGCCGGAAAAGTCCAGAACCACGTGCCACGTGCCTTTGAAAATGACCCTGCACACCGGAAATTGGGACTTTTGGTCATTTCGGCGCACCCATGATGCATAGTATGGCGTGGGTGACCAAACAATGGGTGTCATCCGGTCGGCAACTGTTTAAAGGGACAGTATCACCATTTTGATGAAATTTGACATTGCATAGGCCCCACCTTTCTGGTCCTTGAACTGAAGACCGATCCTCGAAGCTCCACACCGTTATCCCGCTATCGCCGCTCAAAGTACGAAAGGTGTACCACACTTTGAATCGTGCTTCACTATCTTCACTGTTTAAATGTTTGCGCCGTTTTGAATTGACCGCCAGTAATAAAACTTTTACCCTGGTCATTTCATCAAATTTTATAAAGCCAAAACGTTTTTCGCACTTATTCATCACCGTTAAATTCATTAAATAGTCGTAGGCAATTTCCGCTGTTTCCTTCGGATTCTAGCGGCTCAACAAAGGAATTCCTCCAGCTTGAATCACAATCTCCCTCCAATGTATGACGTTTATCACGTGATTGTCACGTGATATTTTCTCCCATTGTCAATTGTCACGTCCAATTGTCACTCCCTCCAATTTTCACGTTATATTTTTATAGGCAATACCTAAGGCTACCTCTCCCTAAGGACAACTCAATCAGAAGAACGACCGCGTAAGCGTAGCGTCAATAATGTATTATCTGCGCCAGTTCTGTAGTAATTTTGCATGCTTCCAACCTGGCGGCCATGCTTGTATAGTGGTGGTTCGCTCATGAAAATGAATCATGAAAATGAAATGTGGTTGCAATATTTTTCACCGAGTTCGGTCCTCAAACTATGTTTTTCTGATTCAGAAAAATAAAAATGCTAGTAAAAAAAAATCAGCTCCATACATGGATTTTTTTTTCGATGATACTGTCCCTTGGTGTCGTCCAGTGGGTCAAAGTGGTAGTTTCAAACTTTTGGGATCCACCATTCTGGGGATTCTTTTTGACAATATACTTACGTTTCTTGGCGCAATGTTCATTCCACCCAGCCGGTCGTCAATGCGTTAGGTGACCCAAATGACGATTGACCTGAAGGAAGTTGGGGGCGAGGAACACGCACGTGCCATCCGTTTTTTACTCGGGCGCTTTCATCTAGGAGATTTTTGCAGATATCTTTTTGATTTGCGAAAATGACCAACCTAACGGTATGCCAGTCGTTGATAAATTATCTTGCTGCGGCCGGGCGCTTATTTGCGGTGTTTGCGTTTGGCGGCTGGCGGGCGACTTTTAGTCGTTTTCGGTTAGCAGTTAGCGTCGGTGCGGTGCGGGCGGTTTTATTTTTTTCGGCGTTTCGGCGTTTTTTTTTTGTGTGGTTTGCGGCGGTCGGGCGATTTTTTTCGCCGTTTGCGTTGGCGTTTCGGGCGTGCGTTTAGCACGTTTTGCGGTGTTTACGTTTTGCGGCGGGCGGGCGTTTTGTGTTTTTTTTTGCGGTGTTTGTCTTTGGCGGCGGGTGGGCGGGCGGTTGATGCGGGCGGTTTTCTTTTTTTTTGCGTCGTTTGCGGTGTTTAATTTGTTTGCGGTTGGCGGCCGCTTTTTCGTTTTTTGCGGTGTTTGCTTTTGGCGGCGGGCGGGCGATTTTTAGGCGTTTTCGGTTGGCGGTTAGCGGGCGTGCGATGCGGGCGATTTTATTGTTTTGCGGCGTTTTTTTTATTTGCGGTTTGCGGCGGGCGGGCGTTTGTTTATTTTTTGCGACCTTTGCGTTGGCGTTTCGGGCGTGCGTTTTGCGCGTTTTGCGGTGTTTGCGTTTTGCGGCGGGCGGGCGTTTTTCACAATTCAAAGTCCAAACCTTCGGGCCACAGTGCTCCTCGAAAAGCGCTGCCCTCGAGTATTTGACTTTCATCTCAGCGAGAACTTGTGTTGCCTATTTTATCGATTGTGTCCCATGGTGGCTCATTGTGTTCATGTGTTGTGACCAGATGTGACCGCAGGCTGTGTCAGATGGGCCAGGTGACACGGCGCGGTCGTAGCGTGCCTGTGACCTATTGTGACCCGGTGTGACCTGTTGTGACCCGTTGTGACCTGTTGTGACCCGATCTGGCCGCAGGCTGTGTCAGATGGGCCAGGTGACGCGGCGCGGTCGCAGCCTGCTCCACATGGCCACGTTTGCTGATACGCCGGTGGACGACTTCCACACCAGCAACATCTGCAAGTGAGTTACCACCGGCTGCCCGCTCGGTGGTGGCAACGGTACCGCGGGATGGATCGGGGAGATGAATCTCGCTGAATTGGCTAATACCACGGTGTGAAAGTTTCACAATGACTGTTAGAAACACTGAACATTTCGTCTATCAGGAACATTGTATGTTTTATCCATCCCTGATACAACTTTCCCATCACATACGAATGTGTGCTACTTATTTCTTCCTCCATTTTTTTTCACATGGTCCAGTTTCCTCCAGCGGTCTTTCGTCAGCGTTTTCCTCCTGCTTGTCTTCCCTCCGACGCCGCCACCGTTCTAGCCGCCCCTCTGACCACCCCGTCCCCCTGCCTGACCAGGTTCCCGTGCGCGGCCACTGCGCGTCTGCTGATCCGGTGTGGCGCCGACGTCAACTGCCGGGACGCCGACGGTAACACGCCGCTCCACCTGATTGTCGGCTACCAGAAGCCCATCAGCGACTTCCTCACACTGCACAGCATCATCGTGGCGCTGGTGGAGGCCGGAGCGCACATCGACGCCTGCAACGTGTCGGGGCGGACTCCGTTCGAGTCGGCCACCACCGGTCAGTTGGTGGCCGGGGGAGGGTTAGGGGACAAGAGGTGGTGCGTGGCTGCCCGGAGCTAGAACGGGATCAAATAGACTACTGGCCTGTTAGGTGGAGCTTTGTAATTGTGGGACCTTGCCAGTACATTTGCATGCGCTTTTTTTAATTATCTGCCGTTATTTCTGTAATAGTAGAAAGTGAATCATCTAGCTGGTCTCGGTCTACCATCAGTTTTGTCTCCTATAACTGAGTTTTTCTGCGTCTATCCGGCAGGTGTCGCTGAGATCATCCTGCGCACCCAGTCGAAGCTGTCACTCAAGTGTCTGGCTGCCCGCGTGGTGGCGCGCCACCGTATCCCTTACACCGGCTGCGTGCCGCGCGACCTCGAGTCGTTCATTGAACTGCACGGACCGGCCGGGCACGCGGACCGCGTGGACGGCGGCCGCGGCGGCCGCGACAGCCAGCTCAAAACCATCTGAGTCGGGAGAGGGGGCTGAAGTTATATTATACGGACAGGCAGCTGAAACCCATCTGAGGCAGGACAGCCAGCTCAAAATCATATGGGTGCCGGAAAGTCGGCTGAAGCTAGGTATCTACGGGACAGGCAGGCTGCAAAGCAGTGTACGAGGCCGCCCGTCCACCGGCCGACGAACACAGAGTGATGTATTGCGGCCAGAGTCCTAGCTTTTCGGCTGGCTGGCGAGGGCTGATGCATTTTGACAGCTATAAGGGTCCCAGATTCAAGCCTGGCTGGCGAGGCTGTCACAAGGTTCCAGCTTTCCAGCTGGCTGGTGAGGCTGACGGTCACAGGGTATCAGCGTCACTTGCTTGCGGTCGAATGATCTGATGGGGTATTGGTTTCGCTCGGTACACAGGTGAGGCCCGGACTCGGGGCGAGATAAAGCCACTGGCAGTCGCCGCGAGTGGGACGAACCCTGTGCCCTGTGGGTGCTCTCTGATGGATGGGTGTGTGTATCACCCGGGTAAACAATAGTTCCGTGATCGACCTCTGCTCTCCGGGAGCTGTGGCCGGCCGTTTTGTTTTTATGCGCTGCCACCCATGACATATTGCCGGCGCAGGCGTTGTGTTTAGTGTTTATCAGCCATGACAGATGCCGGTGTGGGTTGGAGGCGGTCGGCCGGCGCCGCCGTTTGTGATATATGCGCCACGGTTGGCTCTCAGCTGGTAACTGTCGCCGAGAGACGTGCTAGGTTTTACTGCGAGCTTCTGCGCGGGTTGTGTGTGGCTGGTTTCGGTCGGTCTGGCCGTGCGGTCAGTGTGCTGCGGGTTGTGCCGAGTCGGGTGGAAGTGCCACCAGTCCGAGGACAGCTCCGTTCTCCGATGGATCGTCTCTGTGCTCAGTTCAGGCTGGGAGCGCCGTGTACCGCCGGATGTAGACCGGTGAGACGGTGACTGAGGATTGTTGTTGTTAACGCCGTCCAGTGAGGTCGGTAATGGAGGAATGTTGGTGCACGGAGACGCTTTGCCGCCGACCCTGGGGTGGGCGATGCGAGGTACGGGCTGCTGCGTGCCCCCGGCGGGCAGGGCCTACCCGGCCGGCGGCTGCTCGGAGTATGCAAACTGGTTGTGTTCCTGAACTATCTGATGAATATAAGACAGCTATCGATTTATCTGAGTGCGCTACCCCTGCTATGTGCGAAATATTTGATTATCTGATTGCCTCATGCCTCATCACTGTTTAAAAAACATTCGTATTGCTCACATTTGCTGCCCACCTCTCCTACAAATATCGTTTGCAACCGGACGGGTTTTTCTCTAGCCACTAAATGAATTCTAATGTTCCACTTATTACGATAGTGAAAGTCCTCATTGCCTCGCATTGTATCACGAAAGTTTGTACATGTTAACTTCTTAAGCATTCGTGATGACCCCAAGGTTTAATGAATCATCACTAGCGGCACTAATTTAGAGCAGTCCTCGTGTAATTCGCACGCGCTATTAGCTTGCACCCTCGGTCGTTAGCCGCATTAGCGGGATCCAATGAGAGCAGCGCCCATTTGTTCTTTCCCACGACTCCCTGGTCCACCAGCGCCGTCGGTTGTTACGGAAAAAGTCTTAATGAAGCCTGTGACCGGCGGTATACCACACTCGTCGGACCCCTCGAACAGGCGCAAACCGTGTCGGTGCTGTGTGGGACACTGAAACGCATGACGCAAAAAACAACGTAATATTTAAAATCACATTTTCTCCAAATTACGCGTTTCTTATTGCAAGCTCGTAAACTAAATGATGAAATAATAGCTTCGCGATATGCCATTAGGTGCATCAGCATTTAACAAAGAAAACAGAGAATAAACGAGGCAACACCTATATCAATACGTTTCGAACCTTTGAGACATCAGAATTGCACAACTTCGCAACCGGACAGCGAATTGAATGAAGAGCGGGAACTGGTGCGGTTTTGGCCGACTCTTCCTGACGGATGCGGGCCGCGGGGTAATACTGTGTGTAATGTGTAGGACAATAATGCATGGCCAGAGGGAGAACATTCATAGCCATAGACGTGCGCGCTACTATGCCGACAAAAACCGCTCATAGACACCTCAGACCACTCACTGATGGTGCCTTCACACACCTCAGACCGCCCACTGACACCGTCTATAGTCACCTCAGACCGCCCACTGACACCGCCTAGAGTCACCTCAGACCGCCCACTGACACCGTCTATAGTCACCTCAGACCGCCCACTGACACCGCCTAGAGTCACCTCAGACCGCTCGGCTCTGCGCGGGTCGGTGTCGCGCGGACGCTGTTATCTCCCATAAGGAGCATCCTCTGACCGTCCTGGAGCTGGTCCGGGACAGGCAGCAGGCCGGCTGGGACGGTGGGCGGCGGCACGGGACGCCTCAGCAGCAGTGAGGGCAGCAGCAGGGCCGTCGGCCGGCTGAGCACCCGACCCAGCCCGGCGGCCATCACCAACGCAGACCACGGCGACGCGGCTGGAACGGCCGAGTGGAACGGTCACGGACCGACACAGCATAACTGATACGGCCATATCGTAACTGCTACCTGCTTCATCGACACACAATGGATAGCATAGCCACAAGACACGGGCAACGGGACAAGCGTACCCCTCTAAAACGTTCGATATGTGATGGCCCATTTTGTAAGGTCTGCGATCATTTTACCTATATGTATGTATTGTCTTGTCTTGACCTTGCTGGCGCCGAGTCTCTGGCATGCCATGCCTGCCCAATAACGCTGTGTCTCTAAAATATCACGCCTGGATGATGTTGTGCCGCAGCGTCGGGTAATTCCTATTACTTACCACAGATGCCGCTCTACAAAACGCCTGAGAGATGCTGCGCCGCAGTACTCTGTAGTTCCTATTCCTGACCACAGATGTCTCTCTACGAAGCGCCTGAATGATGCTGTGCCGCATTACCCCGTAGTTCTTATTCCTGACCATAGATGTCTCTCTACATAGCGCCTGAATGATGCTGTGCCGCGTCGCCCAGTAGTTCTCATTCCTGACCATAGATGTCTCTCTACGTAGCGCCTGAATGATGCTGTGCCGCATCACCCAGTAGTTCTCATTCCTGATCCTGACCATAGATGTCTCTCTACGTAGCGCCTGAATGATGCTGTGCCGCAGTGCCTAGTAGGGGGTATCTAATGGCTACTCTTCCTCATATGAATATTTGGTAATCCTACCTAATATGCACCGCAATGCGTGATCGTGAAATGTAATGCAATTAATGCTGAACTGCTGAATGATGCGAGTCTTTCTTGAAAGTGCCGCAACACAGGGACATTGAGCGAATAAGTCTTTCCATTCTTCTGACTAGTAGTACTTCGAACACAATGCATGAAGGCCGAAAGACTGTGATGTTAGCTAGTATACATTCCATTTTTTTCAAGTCACACCCAAGATAGACAGCCCGCATCCCCAAATAATCTGTTCATGCGTGGTAACAGACAATTCATGCGTTGTGGTTCTTGCGTTAACCTATCGACCAATATCATTGTAGATAAGATCGACCGCCCCAATTCACGTTTATATGGGTTGAGTATACTTGCGGAGCGTCTGTTGACGATGTCCCATACGCACACTGCAATACCTACACATTGCACAATGCACAAATGTTGGTGGTTGATAATGTAATAGGCAGGACAAGTGAACACAAACTGGGCACATTGGACCAACGAGAAACCATGCCGCATACTCACTCGAGATGAAGCTCTTGTCCGAAATCCTTTCGCAATTGTTTTGTTCGGTGTACTTCTCATGTTTTCTCCACTTCGCCCTTCTATTTTGAAACCATACCTATTGGCGAAAAACAGTAAGGAATATTTCACTTTCATTTCGATCGTGGATCAGGGTACAGAAAAGGAAACAATCGGCATAAAAGAGCACTTTCTGCAACTCGTCGAAAAAGTTAACATTTTGCTGAACAAAACGTTGGTAAATTGTAGGTAAAGTGGGTTCGAACGGCATGACTCGAATGGCATTGACGGCATGACTCAATATAAACATATTTTCAATTGACTGCGACTTACGAGTAGTGTGACGGACAAGTGACTGGGAGTCATGATGCAGGAGGAGCAGATGAATGTATTGTAACAGGCACTATCTATGTGACAGGGCCTTCAATATGCTTGATACTCAACTCAATAGCCATAAAGCATTGGGGATTGTGATGAGCACGACCATATATCGTCACCGGTCACAGGCGGTGGGCCTCCCGGCCACCTTCCGCGCGGTGGGGGGGGGGGGGCATTTTTTTTGCCCCCCCCCCCCCGTATCTCCGAAACTACTGGACGGATCCGGAAAGTTCAAACAGCGTTCGATAGCCCAGTCAAATTTGTCGAAGGAAACCAAATTTCATTGACCTCGGGGTCACCGATGACGTGACCGGTCAGGTCAAAGATAAAATGTTTCAATGTTCACGGGGCTTCTAGGGAAAGCGCTATAACACCGAGTAAAACGCATTTTGTCGAAAATCAGCGATAGGGCGTCAGTTGTCTAGTACATATGTTGCTATTAGAGGTCACTGGTCATACCAGGTCAGGTCACAGGTCAGGTCACCAAAGGTCACCAAGGGTCACCACATGAACCCAACTTTACTAAGGTTGTGCGATGCATGTTTTATGGCCAGTTTTTCATTTCCAACTCAATGGTGTTGGTTATAAGACCATCAGGTACGGTTTAGGTCACTTTCTGGTGGAGGTCAGGTCAAGGTCAGGTCAAAAAAGGTAAAATTTCAAAGTTGATATTTTGCATAAAATGGGTATTGATTCGATGCAGCTCGTCACGGCGAGTCTAATGGTGGTCTTTGCTTTGCGCTACGAGGTCTAGAATTGCAAAAAATTGAGTTTGAAAATTTGACGTCATCAATTTTGAACATTTTTTTTCGCTATAACTTAGCCAAAAAAAGAGGTATCGATCTCAAATTTGGTATGTAGATGGAAGGCGATAGGGACTATCACATATATTCCGGTTTTTTCGAAATTCAAAAAACTTTATGGATTTTTCGGCTATTATATTCAATTTTATTTTATTTTTTGGGGTCAAAATCCAAAAATTTCAAAAATCCGAGATAGCAGTTTTGTAGCCCTTTAAATTCTACACCTTTTATGTCTGAAACATTTTTCTGTTTCTCTAAAGCTGTAGGCCTGACAGCTCATCTCGCGAAACCTTTTTTGGGTCGAAAATGGCAGAAATGACGTCACTCTGACGTCATTAGCGTCCAACCTATCATAGCCTTTGAAAAAATTGGTCACATGTGCAATAGCTATTCACGGGAGGGTACTGAAAGTTTGGTGACGATCGGCGCAGCGGTTCTCGAGATATATCGAAAAAACTAAAGGGGGGGGGGCAAAAAAATGCCCCCCCCCCCCCACCGCCTGGAAGGTTAATGTTTCGGTGTTCAGATTAACATTTCAGGGTGTTGGCAAGACGACTAGGGCACAGGTAAATGACGAAATATATAAGTACCGCCAATGTTGAACGAACCACATCACTAGCATTCGTTCAAATGGTTTCGAGTGTTTCCAAAGAATTTAGTCTTAGTCACTGAATCTGAATCAAACGTTTATCGTGCTAGGGAGACTCGACTTCGCCTTCTGAGCGTCTCGACAACTATGCAGCCAGTCGTCTCCGATTTTATCGAGTCGCCGCGCTTCACTGGATATCAATTGGACTGGCAAATGGCTTAGGTCTGCCGCTTTTTAGGCAATTTGAAGCAATTTAAACCTTTTCAGTGTTTTCCACTTAGAAAATCTCACAATACAACTGATTTGGTCGAATTAGTCGTCTTTTGAGCTCCTGCGACAGCGGGCGGCATAAAGACGGACCAATCGCCGGCGCCGGGACCCAGGACGCCGCTCGGCGGTAACCGGCGATGAATGAGGCCGCTAATTGGACCTCTCATTTTAAATCGATCAATATTGAGCGAAAGGGAGCATAATAAAAAGCAGAGAAGGGCAGGAACTTCGAAGCATATTGACAATGGAATAGCGAGCTATTCTAAAAATCAATCTGGAGGGATTTGCAGCATCAAATATTTACCGTATTTTTGAAGCGACGTTTGCTTTACACTGATAAGGTAGGACAGCGCCACCAATTATAACAAGGTGAAGTGGCTACAAAGCATCAAGCCATCGTGGTTATCATTCGCGGCATTTCCGTTCACAGACAAAGCATTCTCAAGCAAACACAATCGACGGGTGGCGCGATAGGCGGGGTTGATAGTCGGCACGCGTGTCATGTATTGACAATTCATGCTGGATGACCCGAGTGCACTAGCCGGTTCACTCGGCAGTTTACAGCAAATGCGGCAAATGTCATGACACAATACAAATGACACAAAGCATTCTTTTTAATGAGTTAGCTCCAATGGGATGATAGACATTCGGAAAACCTGTCTGCACTCCAGATACACCTCCAATAAAGCAATTAACAGTTTACAGTAGGTACAGGTCTCGCGGGTTTTAGCGGTAGGTTTTGCACCTAGAAAATTTAGTGTACTTCAGGCTATATCTTTGTCGTCTTAAGCTTTTAAGTGTTGAAGATGCGATCGACTTGTTGGGTAACAAGCCGGCCATGATCGTGTAAAATGGCTTCATCGTAGATCGATTAGTTTCTAAGATATAACCCGAAATGTAAAAGTGCAAAACCTACCGCTTAATCTCGCGAGACCTGTACGTACTTATCACATACATATCTCATGAGTCATGTTCCATGAAAATGTTCCTATGGATAAGATCCAGACAAGCTACGGGGCATGGGTCACTGTCCTGAAACCCAAGGTCTAGCAGTCATTTCCCTTAGGCGGCCCAAACTGTGACAAACATGGTAGGTATAACTCTATTCGTTGTAGTTTCTCATACCAATGCACATCTAATTTTGTCGGCATAATAAAACCAAATCTAGGTTATTGTACCGCTGAATGAAATGGGCTTCCCGCTCCTTTGGATGAGGATTTCAGTCCTGATTTTCTGCCGGTTCGCTCTGTGAATCCCGATCTCGCTGCTCATGATTTTCATGAAGCGCTTCGTTCCACTCTAGATCTAGCTCGTCATGCTCCTGCTGATGCCGCTCCACTATTTTCCACAACCCGAGCGCGTGTCTGAACCCCTGACTCGGTATCATCTGCTCCCGCCGACTGGGGAGCGGCTCCTCGCCGACTGGAGTCTGCTGCAGCGACTGTGAGTCATACACATTCACCCAGAGACGATGGTCCTGCAACTCGTCCTCGCCATGTTCGTCATGGTCGTGAGCTGCTTGTGCTTCCCTCAGTTCCAGCGTCTGCCGACTGGCCAGCTCGGTAACCTTCAGCAGGTAACTCTCAAAGCGCTGCTCCTCCTCGTCGTGGTCCGGCTCCAGACTCTGCTCCCGACTCTGGTGGCTCTGTGTCTGGTTTTCAGCGGCCGTGCCCAGCACATGCTGCCGCAGCCGCCATCTACCCACCGAACCTCTTACGGCGGCCCGCAACTGCCTCTCAAACCGGTCACCGGAGAGCAGGTGGCGGATGCGAAGCTGCCACACGTGGATCGTTATCAGCGCACTGTCCTCGTCCATACCGGGCAGATGCTTGACGAGGTGTGGAACCAAGTGATCAGCGTAATCAAGCATTTCTTCAAGGTGCTGACGGTGCTCGTTGCATGTTGGCAGAGGCTTACAGTGCACCAGAGTCATTTCTCGGTCGCTTTCCTCTAACCACGCCTTCCTTTCCGGCATGATCTCGGTGAGAAACTGCACCACGAGCTCCGGCTGCAGCAGCAGCTCGGCGCGGCCCCGCGGCGAGTCCAGCTCGGCGGTCAGGCCCGCCTGCGGCCGCTCCTCTGGGGGCACGCTCAGCTGGCGGTGGCACCAGGCGGCCGCCACTGACGGATCTCCCGTGAGGTAGCGCATATCTCGGTCTATGAGGGTGGCCATCAGCGGCGCGGCGTCCCAGGTGTACCGCTCCCCGTCGACGGCCGTGAGCCGCACCGCGCACACGACGTCATCGGGAGCCACCATCAGGGCCTGGAGCAGGTAGCACTGCTGGTGGTACGCCCCCGTGCGACAGCGGTAATACCACTGGAGGAGCTGGTGCTCCGACGCTAGAAGCAGAGGCGGTACGCAACGTTCCGCCCAGGACTGCCAGTTGGGTAGCGTCGTTCTTTTGGTCAAACCGTCCATAACAGCCCGGCAGATCAGCACTCTTGTCAGGACTAGGCGCAGTCGCCGCGGCGGGAGAGGCCTCCAGACTGAGCCCTCCTCGAATAGCAGACGCACTTCGTAAAACTCGTCCGCACACCAGGCCATCAGCAGAGCGGTGGTCCGTCGTTTCATTGCAGCGATGGTCTTGAGCATGTCCTTCCTCTCTTCAATGGTGACGAGGGACAGCAGGTCGATGTCATGCCAGAAGAAGCAGGGCAGACTACCGGCGGCGATGTGCTGTTGCAGCCAGTCGAGGATCGTGGCCACGCCGTCCACCACACCCGTCCAGCTGTCGGCGGGGCGGTCCTGCGCCAGCCACAGCATCGCTGTCTTGATGTAGTAGGATTTCAGCGATGGGCTCGCCCCACCTTCCTTCATGTAGCTTTTCATTCTCTTCACGGACTTAACAACGGCTCGCTGTGTGGCCGTCAGCTGGTGAATGGCGACCACTTCGGCTCGGGAGAAGGAGAGGCGCCACTCGTACAGCTCTGTGGCGCTGCCCTCCCGGCCGGTGGGCACCATGTGCACGCCAAACTGGCAGAGCTCCTGACGCGCCGCCGCAGAGGGGAACCCGTGCACTCGGCGGCGCGAGAGGAACGCCTCCCTCCCCGGCCACACGGGCAGTCTCAGACACGGAACGTGGTCCTTTCCGCCGTGATTGTCTTCTGGCCGTTGCGTGTTGACGGCCGGTCCAGGTGTGCTGATGGTGCTGTCAGGTCTCATGGCGCGACAGAACTCGAACATCAGTCGGCGCACCTGCTGGGCGGGGAGCGCCAGCAGCGTCGACTCGTGCTCGCACTCAGTCGTGCGGGCCCAGTGCAGCGTGACAAAGGCCGGACTGTCGGTGGGCCGGGCCCACAGCTGCGGCGCGTCCTGCGCACTGATGCAGTCCGGCTCCTCGCCCGGCCGCGCCAGCGGTCTGTCCATCCATCGGAAATCGCCTACCAGCTCAAACATGAGATCATAATCGGACAAGCTCGGCACATCCTGAAATATATCGGCCAGTCCCTCGGCGCTGCTGCCCGACCGTCCGACGTGCCGCACGCGGAGCGGGGTGGCCGGTGTGCAGCGGGGACACCTGTCCGCCGACTCCAGGACCGCGGCGCTCCTAGTGGCCTGCAGGGCGGCCAACAGAGGTTGCTCAGTGAGCCGCACATGCGCGTCACGCACCGCAAACTGGGCGATCTCGGCCACTTTGGCGGCCGGGTGCCCCGTCACCAGTTCGTTGGCGATACTCAGAGAGTCGATGGCCAGACGAGCGCCGACGCCGCACTTGACTAACAGACGGTGCACCGTCCACTGGCGGGCCACGCGCCTCCGCGCGCGCCGCAGCCACTCCATGCCGCCGAGTACAGAACTTCCACGGTCCCAGCCGCGGCCCGCAGCGCGCCGACACCATAACCGCACTGTCGGCTGGCTGAGGCGAGCCGACGCCCGGCTGGCCGACTACCCGGCTTCTGTCCGACCGACTGTCTCGACGTTCACTCTCAGCTTGTTTATCTTGTGAGCGATCTCAATTCTCAGGGGCGACACCCTTATCACGTCAAGATATGGAGGGAGACAATAACGATTGCTGTTTGTCTGGAGGAGCGTATCAATAATCCTCTGATACATTCAGTCCACAGGCTTCCTTTGTCGAGCCGACACTTCAAATACGGACGGCTCCCGCTGTCAGAGGCTGTACAGTGACACCGCACCGGGCGCGTGACTCATTGTTTGGGGGTTCACAGTTCCGGCAGCCGCCGGGAGCCGGGAGGTTCGCGACCTTGACCACAGCCACCAGCATGCTTCCAGATAACCGCGTCACTTTTCGGAATTTATTAGTAGGACTGGGCTGTAATGACTAATTTTGGGGATAGGAACCAAAGCAATTCTTGCCATGCAACGTCTAATGCTAAAATACCGAAACTATGGGTAGGATTCGAACTGTATAAAACAACACCCGTGTTTTCAGGTTTTCAACCGTTCAATGGTAGGAAGCAAATAATAATAATAATAATAATAATAATAATAATAATAATAATAATAATAATAATAATAATAATAATAATAATAACAATAATAATACCTTTAAAACAAGCACAACAATCCCCACAATACGCACCCGCTTGGTGAGAAGCGCGAAGAGGGCTAGGTAGACTGTCGGGTTCGGGGGATTAGGAAATGTGTACATAATTCAAGAGAATGAGAGTAGGAGGAAAATATAAATAGTGTTTAATCCTCGCCGGACCTATTGGTTTTCTACATACGCGCCGGCCGAGGGGGGGGGGAGGGGAGGGTACGACCTCCCCCCCTCTCGCCGTTTCGCCCCTGGTGGAGCTAGCGCGTCGAGGAAAAAACAAGTGTGTGCGCCGTTACGAGACGCAGAGATTGATATCCGATTTTAAGGTCCTAGGTCAGCCGGTGACCTCTGAGGTCAGGTCAAGTGCCCCAAGGTACGGTTCCGTTTTTGGTGAATAACTTCGCAAAAAACGGCCGCAGAGCCGCGATGAAGCGTCGAATAATATACTTTTTCTTTGGATGCGCTCAGCTTAGGGTGTTGACCTCGGGTCACGGTCAGGTCAGCGCTCCCAGGTCACGAAATTGGTTGAAGAAGGTCATGTCGCATATTATTCGATTCGGCAGATCTTCCTGAGTCCATTGGTGGCTTTCCCGACTCGCTAGCTCAATTTGATCGGGAGTTATTGATGAAAAACTAATATGACCCTAATGACGTCATAACTTACCTCACGCAAGGTCAACATTGCAAAAGTAACGCATCGAACCTTGCAAGGAACACATGAAATCACGATTCTGTGTGTTTGAGATAGCTGGAGGTCGTTCCCGGCGCCAAAATAGCAGTTTTCATTTTCCCCATTGACTTATAATGGTGAGGTCACGAAAATGACGACCTGACCTCATATGACCTTAAGGAAAAATTCGAGAGATACAAGTTGTGAGACTCCTAATGGATACTGGGTCCTGCAAGTTTCATTTTACTGTGAAAGCTCCTCTGGCAGTGAGGGCGTTGCGAAGTTGCGACATCTGAAGATCGTGCAGAGGTTCACTTATGACGTCATAGGTCAGTGACCTGACCTGATCCGAAAATGCGGTTGGTGTCAGAAGATCCGGCTTGATGGGGGGCGGCACCCGCTCCCCCCCCCCTCGGCCGGCGAGGGTTAATTAAAAACCATAATGAAATGAGAATAGAGAAATGAAGAATTAATCTTAAAATTGATTTTGAACGAATTTGCAGATCATTTCCAATGAGTCAGTGTTTTGACCTGTGCCGTGCATGCAGTCTCTTACTGTGGTATGAGCTCAGCCCAGTGTGGTCTGTCATACATACCTGAACTCTGGCCTCGGTCAGCTGCAGTCTGCCGGCCACCTCTTCCCGAGTCAACACGTCCGGATACTGGCACTTCTCGAAGGTTCGCTCCAGCGCGTGCAGCTGGTACGTGGTGAACGTGGTACGCGAGCGCCGAGACTTTCGCCTGGCGACGGGAACGAGATAAGATTAATTTGGCAGATGGATATCTACATGTGCCCCATGCGGTAAAAGCACAGGACGTTGCAAGAAGGTTTTCATCATATGCTTTGAGCATGAGTAATAAGCATAGTCCTAATAATTATAAGTCCATTAAAAAAATCGAAACAGGTGCATCTCCACTACTTAGACTGAAGGAGCATCGGTAACGGATATTTACCAATTTTAGCACATACGAGTAGCCATGTACATTTAGCCTTCGAACACCAAACAAACTTACTCGTGTTTTTCGGGTCGCTCAGTGTTCGCGTTTTCTGGAGAGTCGTCCTCGACCACGAGCGATTCCGAACCGTATGAAGCTGGCTGATCCTCGTCATCCCCTGAAAAAACGAAAACATTCCTGTCCCCGCCACTGTCCAATACAAGAACTGAACAAGGCGCTTAGGTGCCGCGAACAGTCGTGGCAGGCCGTGACGCACACAGGATTGTTTCGCTGTAGGACCTAACGTAGATTTCAGATAAAATTCACACAAACGCATTGAGTGAATTATGAGTTTAAGTCCTGCCCTAAACAATCATTTCGCATGGGGCCTGGGGGTTATATTTCTCAGGCCACAGATGGCCGTAGCAGGGTGATCATTGATGGGCAGAGGGCTAACCTGCAGGATGGTGCCGAGGCTGACGATCCTGTCCCAGGATCCGGTCAATGCTGTGCGCCGTCGGAGGTACCTGTTGTCGAGACATTGTCCCCGCCTGTGACACACCGCAGGGTGCCTGCGACCCACAGCCGACCCGCCAGAATCCGGAGAACAGAGGTGCCCTAAACGTAAACAGTGATCCATTTACAAGCTACGAGAGCTGTCAAAGACCGATCTGTCGCCCCTCCTCCAGCACCGACCGCCGTCAGCCAATCGGAGGCGACTTACAACTGCCGTCGACCAATCACAGCGCTGTAGTGATGCGGAGGCGGGGCCTCAGGTCAAGAGGGAAGTGTTAGCTTGGTTGGTAGACGGACTTTCGTTATCACAAGGTTATCAGCAAACCCCGAACCAAGTGCCAAATCTGCTGATCCGTAGCTTGCCTCTATTGCTCAGCTTCCCGACAGGACCGGTTTTGGCCTGACTTCGACCATAGGTCAGCCTCAGCACTAAGGTAAATTTTTCCCGGGCAAAAAGTAGATGAATCATTTGATGACGATGGACGCAACAAACACAATATTGACAAAAACAAAACCAGTCCTTCACCTCTGCGCATTAAACCCGACCTTGGATGTGCCCAGAATTAGATCCTAAAATTGGGTATAAATCGTTGTCTCGATTTTTGGCGAACACGCCCATTTTCGCGAAGCTCGAGCTCAATTAGGGACGAAAAGTAGAGTGAATAGTTATACCTTGATCCTCCCCAACCCCTTGGTCTGTAAATTAAAAAAAAAATATAGGTCCTAAAAATGCGACCTCGAACGACCTCGACAATGAACACCGCAAAGAAAGACTATACCTATAAAAAACTATCACAGGTCAGGCGACTGGCAACTGACACTGAATGCTGATGCACGATTTCACTTCGATATTGTATTTCTATGAATGGAGCGCCCGATTGAGGGCCAGAAGGCAGCCGTGTTTTATTCCGCCGTCGGTGGCGGCCTGTAGGGGACATTGTCAGTAGAGAGTGTCGCCGGCCAGCGGCCCATAGGTAGGTGGCGCTGGCGGCGGCCGCGAAGGACAGCTCGCCGTCATCAGTCGGGCGCTGGCTAGTACACTACCTACGCAGCGTGAGACCCAGAAACGACGAGATAAAAATGCAAATATATAATTCGATTTCCAATCACAAGTCAACAACAACCAGCATACAAGCGTAGGGGAGAGTGGGGCACATTCGTGCATGGGGCACATTCGTTTTCAGCAGTTTATGGGAACACGAGTGACTGCACGAGCTCAAGGTAAATTATGGAAATATGTCTATCATTGCCGCCCTTCGTTCACCGTAGAAGACAACACTGTACCTGCTGTCATGCTTGATAAAAACGCAAATTTGTAATATTCGTGAGCTTTCCAAACTTTTCTCATATCATCCATTTTCGTGATCCTGACTCGGAAATGTGGTTCAGCTTTTCAAAATTGGGGGTGAAGAAGCTCACTCTATTCACGGAACTGCTGCAAACTTGTTTGTTGAAAAAGTGTCATTTTTTCAAAAAGAAATTTTGAAATATATTACTAATAACGTTGTGGGGCAGGTTCGTGTACGCACTGCCTGGGGGCACATTCGTGCATATTTTTTTTAGTTTTGCGATTTATGACTTTATCTGTAGTAGGTTTCTCTAATGACGCTCGCCTGACTCAGTCTCGACTGCTTGCGACGTCGTGACGAGCAATTCACGCGAACTTGGCGAGGTCACGGAGGCCGGCAGTTGGCACATTCTTGTTGGCCAGCCCATTCTGTCTACATATGTTGTGCAATGCATTCTTGTCGAAAGGAATCGAGTAAAATGACCCCCTGCCAATTTCCTTTGGTAAATTTCTGGTAATGCCCGGTAATTTCTCGAACTTTGCAGGGTGAACGGAAGTGCCCCACCTCTTGAACGAATGTGCCCCATAGGTGGGGCAGTTTCGTGCAAATGTTCAGAGTTATTAAAAGTCATTTTTTCTAATGGAAGCAATAATTTTAGAGGATAACTTTTAAAGAGGAAAACTATCTGCAATAGTTCCTTTCCATACTACAATCAACAATTTTGCCATTGCACTAACCAAAGAATAGATATATGGGTTTATCCATTTTTTGCACGAATGTGCCCCACTCTCCCCTACTGCACCACAATGGTGCCCACCAGCTTAAAAACGACACACACCAGCTGCGTATCCCAAACAAGTCTCACCCGCTCGTAACAGCCCTTCGTCAACAACTAGCGATTCTATTTGTATTGCAGACCTCCAAGAGGTCCATGTCAGTGAAATTGAGCTAGGACCGCCACATCCACCTAACCGCCTTGAATCCCACCGCCCCAGAAGTCAGCCACTAATAAATACCACCTTTACCCGTCCCGGATCACATCTGGACCGAATGCCACGAGCTAAAGCTGGCGAATCGATTTCAGCGAGCTCCAAGCATACTAGCGTGCTCTGACAGTAGTCCCCTGAAGCCGGCGCGGGTCCCACTGTCCCAGTTGGAGTGGACTGACTTCGGTGGGTGGCTCGGTGTGACTCTCGGCGGGCGGCGGAGCGGCGGCGGCCGACATCAGGCTGCGGTCTGCTCCCAGCGTGACCAGTAGTCGGCCGTCTGCATCTCAGCCAGGCGCGACACGGTACGCTCGAACGCAAACAACTCCTCCTCGCCGGTGAAGATGCTGGCCTCGGTGAGCTGACGGTGAGCGGGACGGGACGTCGAGGGCGGTCAGAGTCACGAATAGAGCACGGGACGTCAGCCGCAGACAACGGGGAGGTGTATGAATGGAGGAGTACAAACTCAAAGACCCAACTAGAGCAATGCACTCTAGAAAAATAGTTGGTTTCTTCATGTGGCATAAGCAATCAGCGCTAGGGATTTCAATTAAGCTCGCAAGTCACTCGAAGGTGAAGTTTCTTTCCAATTAAATTACACTTCAATTTTATTATCAGTCTAGTACCTTCCACCTAAACTGCATTTTGATGGTCCATCACCATCCCGACCATAAGATACCCGATTTCAGCCTCGTGTCCTCACCGAGTCATTGGTCAGCTTCAGGTCGTCCATGAGTGCCCGCTTGTCGTCGTCCACGTCCATGTCTTTATCGGCGGTGAATAGTTCCTTGAGCGGCACGTCTGCGCTGATGACGACACGCACCTGTCGATGAGACCGCTTACCATCAGAGACGGTCGGATATTGATCCCCCTCCGGCTGGGGGAGGGGGGGGGGCGGTAACAGCGCCAAAAGACCGGCGGTTATTGGAGCCAATCACGCTCGACGCGCCGGCAGAGCGCTGCGACACTGGATGTAATTGCGATCGCTTCCGCTGCTAGGGAATGGATCGGCAAGGAGCAGACTGAGCATCGGGTGTCCCGTGACAGAAGGTCCGCTGCTGATCTATGTGATATGCTTTATTGGACGTTATTAACACAAAGTCCACGTATTGCGCTTAACATTGTCGGAACAGTCTCATCCGACTGGTATCAGCTTCACTGTACGGAGACGCCAAGTGAATGAATGATCGCCGCATTGGCTTCATGACTTCCGACTTACATGGTGGTCATACAGCGTGTCGATCAGCGTGATAAAGCGTCGCGCCTGCGCCCGCTTCTTGGTGTTGAGCTGCGGAACGTCTCTGATGATGACCGTGTGGAAGAACTGCGCCATTGTCAGGTAGTCGGCGGCTCCCAGCGGCTGACGGGCGGGGCAGAGAGACGAAACAACGTCAGGACAACGCTATAGAAGTTTGTAATACACCAGACATCTGTCAAATTTGAATGCAAGCATCGACCGGTGCTGCCGCCACACTAACATAAAACGTCACAATCAGGACACCGTAGAGCGAAATATCATTAAATTGATCATTTTATTCCTAGTATCTCACAAATTTAGTCTCTTGAAAAGCTAGAAATGTCATCAGCAAAATTCATCATAAACCATAAACATGATGGTATGTATGGACTCGTATGCAACCAGGTGAGATCCTGAACCGCTGTCATCATACAGAGAGGGTCATTGGGTACCTAATACACACGCGTCCGATCTCATTTCCCTTAATACGTGTAAAGCCGTCTCCCCACGTGACGAACGACACGCACCCCGCTGACCGGAGAAGTGACGGAAATGAGAGATCGGGAGCCGAACCATTTAGAGCGGGGCACGAAAGACTCGCCACATCTTGGGGATCGTCACCAACTGATACTTCCTTCGTTTTTCTTTATTCAATCATCCCTCCAACAGGCTTTTTGCCCCCACTTACAGGAGGGCTCCTACTCCTCCATGTCCCTCCCCCCACCCCCCCCCCCCCCCACCCCCGAAAACGGCTGACGTGTGAGCCCACCTAACTCCTGGTGACGCAGCTGGGGACGACGCCCGCGGAACGGACAGCACTGGGAATATTTTACTACAAGAAAACATATACTGAACACAGCACAACACAATGTTCTACACACCAGCATCCTGTCACCCCAAATAACCCAGCTGATCGTGTAGGTACTAAGCACACTGCACAGTGCATACATTACCGACACCTTCCACTGACCCGATCACAGAGCTCGGAGAAGGTGCAGTCGGCCACCTGGCCGCACGTGCGCTCAAACTGCACGTCTCGGCCGCGCACGTGCAGCAGCCGGGGCCGCACCACGTCCGTCTCGCGGGCGCAGAGCACCTTGAAGAGCCGGCGCAGGCCAGAGTCGGCGTCACCGTCACTCTTTCTGGCCGGCAAAGGAGGGCGCGTCAGTGCGCACATTTCCACAGACTTACATAGACTTATATATATAGAGACTTGTATAGAGGAGGAGAAATGACGGAGAGGAGAAAGAGAAATGACGGAGAGGAGGAGCAATGACGATACCCGCGAATCTATTGGTCAATGGCTTATTGGGGAATGACGGTAGGCGGTCGCTAGTACGGCATGAAATTCAAACGCTATTGACAGGATGGATTGACTCAGCCTATCTAAATCAGTCACACCCGAAGCGGCGCCACAAATAAAACAAGTCCTCGTAATGCTAGAAATAATGTTTGTGACATTTCGTCGAAGGAAAAGAAATGCAAACAAAGCGTCCAAAACAACTAAATCTTCGCAAATAATAACCAATCGACCCACTCAGCGGTCGGAGGATGGGACTCACAGGAAATAGGTCTTCTCCTGGCTAGCAGCTCCCATGAGTCGATAGTCGATTCCCGAGTCGAGGCACTCCACGAAGCAGTGCCCCTTGAGCACGGGGATGAAGGGCAGGAAGTTGCCGCGCTGCAGACCGTTCTTGTAGAGGTCGTCCGGCGGTCGGTTGCTCGTCGCCACCACGATCACGCCGTTGTAGAAGAGGGAGGTGAACAGTCGCTTCAGGATCATGGCGTCGGCAATGTCGGTCACCTGTTCTGGCACAACGGAAGAAAAGGTGTCGTCAGTCAGGTGAGGTGACGTAGGAAGTGTTCGCATACTGTGTATAGTAAAAGACCATTGTTTGTCTACCGAAAAACCAATACATATCAGTCATTCACAAATACAAACTCACTCAAGAAAATCACAGCAAAAAAAATCATGAAATGTCAGTCAGCACACATCAAAGGTCATTTATTCTAGTTTCTCCGTCGTAAAGGCCGCACAAATTGACTTTCTACCCATCACCAAGCTGAGAATTATGAATCATTCCTTTCGCCGCCACTGACCTGAAACTCGTCGAAGCAGATGAGCCACACCTCATCGGCGATGGCCTCGGCGACCGGCCGGATCGGGTCGAACGCGCGCGGCTTGGTGTCGCTGCTCTGAATCGCCGCGCGCTGTTTGGCCTCGTGGATCCGCCGGTGCACGTCCAGCATAAAGGCATTAAAGTGCACGCGCCGCTTGTGTGGCGTGTCCACACAGTCGTGGAACAGGTCCATCAGCATCGTCTTGCCGGTGCCAACGGTGCCCCAGAGGTAGAGGCCGCGTGGCCGCCGACTGGAAGACGCGCCCAGCGAGAAGAGCCGCGACAGAAGCGAGCGGCGCGGCGGCGAGTAGCCGTCCAGGCTGCGGTGGATCTGGTCGAGCCGCTGCACGATGGCCGCCTGGTACTCGTCGGCGTACAGAGAGCCGTCGGCCAGCCGGCGCTGGTACACGGCCAGGGGTCCGCCGGGCGCCGCCGCCGACAGCAGTCGCGTCCCCAGCCGGCGGGAGGCCACTGCCGCCGCAGTGCCGCACACTGCCCGCTGCAGGGTCATTGCTGCAGTACGCTGCCTCTCCCTGAATAGGAAACCGACCCATGTCAGGGGCAGCAGATGGCATCAAAGTGCAGCAGACAGCACTTTGAAGCATGTAAACATTTCAGTGCTGGTTTTCATAAAAATAACTCATTAGATGGCAAATCATTAGAGTCCAAAATTCATTTGAATAGGTCTAATGCTAGGTCAAGGATAGGTCAAGCTAAAAGCTACTATTACATCACATTCACTAGGCACTGCTTTTACACTTAGACAGAGAAGAGTTTTGGGCAGAGACCAGAGTTTTACCAGAATATACTCAGAATGATAGACTAGAAAAAAAAATCCATACATTAGGTATGCTAGATGCCTGTGAAACTTATGTGCTCAAATTTGGCACAAGTGAATTAGCATTGAAATTCTAATATTTGTGCCTAAAGCTTGATGCTTATTTGAGCCAGAATTGGGTCACTTTTACATAAAGCATAAGTGCATACCTACCAACAAAGGCTATTCAACCATAAAGAGTGTTCCTGGGCAGAACAATTCCTGCCTCAAAAACAGGTGGAACAGTGTTTTGGGGTGTCTTGTGACCTTGAAGGCTAGGATCCACCATATTTGTTTGAAATCAGTGACTGCTCACTTCTCATTGAACTAAGCAGTACCATACCACACGCTTTCAAAAATAATGGTAATGTATATCCATGGATTAGGTATTCCTGGATCGGACACTCCGCCGATTTTCCGACCACCCGGCGGCGGCGGCGGATTTCCCGACGGCGAGGGCGCTGGCGCCATTTTAGCATTGCGGGCTATGGGCGGAGCGTGTGTTTTTGTATACTTTTGTCGTTTATTACTTACCTGTAACCGATTTTGATGAAAAATTTTGTGAACCTGGTAGAACAGGAATTGAGGAATGTCATGAAAATATTATTTTCCCAGTTTTGATTTAAGAAGCTGCTTAAATTCTGCTGAAAAGTGAGGGTTCGTGATTACAGCCGAAGAGCCAATGTTAGAATAAAGTTAAGTTTTATGCGATAACATGAAAATAAGTTGATATTTGTATCAAATCATCAATAGGAACTTGTTTGACCGCCGAGGAACGATGATATTTGATGATAAATTGCATCGGCAAGTCAAGAATACGGGCTCAGTTTATGGGCATCAGGTAATGATTCCGTATGTGATAGTGACTAAATGGAGCCATAATAATTATAAGAAAGAACTTGAAATATGTGTTAAGTCTCTGAAATCGTGTCTTATGAGCTAAAGTTCGCTAATTTCGCCCTCCATTACCGCGTTTTTAGCACGCAAGCCGGTGCGGCGGCCGCCGGCGCACTCGCCGCCGATGTTTCGGAGCTCCGCCACCAGGGCGGCCGCTTGGTCGCCGGCGCTAGTGTTGGGGAATAGGGAGTGTCCTATCCAGGTATACTTCATCCATGGTATATCTTTAGATGACCAAGTGATGTTTTGGGGTTCATTTGGATGCATGGAACACATATTGATATGCTGATGCATTCCATTGAGCATTGGTTGAATGTATAACATTGTTGGGCAGATGTGTTGTATTTAGTATGCTTATATTGGATGTTATAACCAGGCTAGGGCTTCGGACTGGCCTTGACGCTATTGCGTCAAAAAATTAGTTGGCTGCTATGCACCATACCTTATCAGGGCATGTGGTTACGCCAAATGTGGGCCAAAATTTTCAGCACAATCCACTAGACATATTCGACACAGTATGCATTTTTCCAGTCCAGTTTCAGAACACTTACAATTTAAAGAAAGTGGAAAAATGACATTTCAATTTCCTTAGCTTCAGCCGCACACTATACGCTTACCTGATTTATCGTCTATTATCTAATCAAGTATCTCCCTAAAAATAATGTCATTGTTCTAGAGAATTATCTTTCATTTCTATTTGAATAAACACACTGAAATCATCATCACTCTTTGATTGTGACTTCTTTATCGTTTCGATCGTTTCCACAAACTTGCAAAAGAAATCACCAAGCGTCATGATTGAATTAGTGGCTTCAGAATTGTCTCCATTGTTTGCTTCCAAATTTGCAGCTTGAATGAAATCCTTTCCTTTGGTAAAATACCGTGTGCATAGAGCAGGCATCAAATCCCATCAAATCCCAGCTCCGAAGTCCCAACAGCAACTATAATTTTATTTGAGACCCTTTCACTCATTGTCACATTTTCCCGTGTTTTTGAGAATGGACAATAAGCTATCACAAGCGCCACCTCAGTCAGGGCCCTGGCTCTGTTTGGACGAAACAGTTCAGGGATAAGGACGTGACTAGAGCTATTTGAAATATCACCACCCACCAGCTACTATCTCTCCTCCCAAAGCTGGTATAGCATCTCTCGGATATGAGCATAAGAAAACCGAGCCAGACAGTTACGATTGTATTGTATGCATTCAGGCAAATCGGTCAGTGGATATTCGGGCTTTGACGAGCAGGTGGGCGGCAAACCATGCAATCAAAGTGGGATGAAAAAGAAAAGTTGGCCGGCAATTTCGGAATTCTTGGCCAATGAAAAAGTCACAATGATTCAGGATCAGCGCCGGAACACTTGGGTGCGCCGGCCCGTTGCTTGCACTGAACATTGTACAGACCAGCCCCGGGTCCCGGCTCGAACAAGAAGCACGCCGCGTATACTTACACAGACCTCAAGGCAATTAGGAGAGCGCCCGGGACCGGCGGGCACCCGGCGGTGACAGCCCACCGGGGGCCAAGGCAAAACAAGGTCCAAACGACGCACCGCGCTAACTTAGAGTACACAACAGACTGGTTCTACGAGGTATAAAGACACAGTTTCAAAATACGATGATCGGTGACCAGATTCGATAGGGCTATCTCACTGATCTTTCTCTCTCTCACACACACTCGCGCTGCTCGGCTCACAGTCACACGGCGTCCGGCCGGCCCGCCACCAGCGCGGCCCGGCGGCCGGCCGCGGCGGCGGGCCCTCGGCTGAGATCAGCTGTGTCCCGGCCGGCGGCGTCCCGGGTCGCCCTGGCACCCCGTATACAGCCAATGGAAAGTGATAACACGCGTGTGCAGAGGAGCCGAGGCCGGTCGGCCGTGTCGGACGTCCGGCTCGCTCGGCGCGCGATTGTACTGGTGCAAGTCTTGAGGCCGGCCGGCCGCTCAGAGCAGCTTCTCGCCCATCCAGCCGCCGTCGCTGGGACTGCCCAGGCGGAGGTCACAGAGTGAGGCGGCGGCGGCGGCCAGCGCTGCCGGCCGCTCGGCCTGCAACAGGCGGCAGCCGGGTCAGCGCGAGCGCCCGCTGGCCGCCAAAGGCACCGAGACACGCAGTCGGACCCACACTCGCGGCGCCGCTCCCTCTCACACGCAGCTCGTCATCGTATGTACACAACAGCGGCGGCCGTGGCGCCGACCGCGCCCCTCCGGCTCTGCAGCACCCAGCCCGGCTCCGGAACAGTGGCCGTCCCCGGCGGCCCCGAGCACACAGACTCCACACAGCGGTCCCCGCTCGCGGGACGGAATCATGACCCAACCAGGCACGTGCCGCATGCAACGACTACACCGAAAGGGAGAATGGTCCGACGCACCAGGACAGCAAATAGGCTACATCAGGCACACCCCAGCCAGTACAACGAGGAATTACGAAGGGGTGGCAGCTAGGCACGTGACAAAAGATCGAAGGGAGTCAACAACGCAACCTTTGACAGATAGATTGCAGATATTCTGTAGATCAAGTTGACATAAAACTAAGCATTCGTCTACGCTGTGGATACAGCAAATATGGAGACGGTTCAGCTATGTAACTCATGCAGTCGCGACCTCCAATAAATAAGTGGTAAAGGAAGCAGACCCAATTCAGTCATGCAAACATGAAATAATCTACGAAAAAGAAAGATACATTACAGAAGAGAAAAACAATTTCTCAAGTCTGCTTTCCCACCAACAGCTGATCCCGAAAATACTCCCATTCCGAGCGATCTACGCATCTCCCAAGGGCTGGTCGACGTCCCTCGGTGTCTTTTCCCACGGGCCGAACAAGCACCCCGGACATAGAAAGACTGCCACTACGCCCGCTAGCGGCAGCGCCGGACCCAGTCCGGCTTGGTCGGTCGGCCGCCGCGCGGCGCGCGCAAGCAGGGTCTCGGGCACACTCAGCAGGCGCCGTACACACGTGCTACACCCTGCGGCTGCTCCCTTACGGCCGAGAGCTCTGTCGGCGGCTGTTCCGGCGCACCGGGCGGCACTCTGCAACACAACGCCGGCACCGGTCAGTCGTCAGTCGGCGGAGGGGAGTGGGACGCAGGTACGCAGGGGCGCCGGTCAGTCGTCAGTCGGCGGAGGGGAGCAGGGCGCAGGAACGCAGGGCGACAGCCGGGAGACGGCACCGCCCAGTGGATGTTGAACACTCGGTAAAATGCATGGTACACACAGCCATAACGACACAACTATGAATGCAGATGCTTTAGCGGCAGCTACACAAAAACAATAAAATATCGGAAAACTATCTCGTTTTGAATTCTTAATCAGGCCAGAATCCCGAGTAATGGTGTTTGGAGCACAACGTAATATGTTTCACAGCCAATGTTGGAAATAAGACCCTTTGCTGGTCCCAGTCGGGTCCATATGATTCTGTTCTCCTTTACAAATTTATACTCTGGCACCTAAAATCTCTTAAATTTCCAGCCTATGTAAAGAAAACTGCTATAATTACCTATGCCTAAAACATGCAGTTATATGCATTGAAAGAACACATTGTATCAACTGTCACATTTAGTAGGCCGAACATATGATTTTCCTGTTGAGTGTTCTAAAAGCTGGGCGGTTCTCCGGACGGATTTTATCCTCCGGGACCAGGACCAACATTCACAAGTCCAACATGGTTCACAGCTGAGTAATCCTTCGAAACTTCTGAATTCTGTTCTATTTGGTAGTGCAATATAGTACGATACTAAGCACTAGCAGCCTACCCACGGATCGGTCTCAGTGCAACCTTTATGGCTAGCATGTCAGGATAATATCGTCGCCGGTTGCTATGCCTCCAATAATCACCTAAAAAGCTACGCTAACTATTCAAAACCGGCGCAGAGCTGATAGCGTCCTCTCCAGTACAGTAACGTCAGAGCAGCAAGAAAATACTCGAACGGCCGCTATCGCATCCCACGGGATTCCCTTGGAGACGAATAACGACATCATTGTATGGAGTGTACCAACTGAACCGTGCGCACTTCACACTCGACACTCAACAGTCAAGCGCATGAGTCACGGAGATCACAAGATCTCCCTCTCAGCCACTAGAAACACCCAGTCCTTTGACCACCCGCGTCTCCGCCCGACCCTCCCCGTCCCGACTATGCGGCCCGGAACTCACGGTTGCCGGCCGACGTGCGCCGGCACTGAGCGTCAGTTGGGCAGGTCGTCGGACACAAACTTCTTCAGCCGCTCCAGGTACTGGCCGTGTACCTCGATATCATTGTGGCCGGCCCCCTGACGACGGGTGGTGGGGTCAGTACGGGTCAGCAGACGGTCAGCCCCGTACGGGTCAGCGGGTGGTCAGCACATACGGGTCACACGGACAGCTGGGAGCGTATGCCAGCACGTCAGACCCGGACGGCGGACCTGGTGCCAATGGGGATACACATATGACATAATGCATGAGGTAGTTATTTATGCACCATGCAATTTTATACACACGGAGGCCAGAGAAGGCGTGGTGCGAAGATGACGTCCGTCGAATATAAGGGCTACACACGATCGTCCGTCGAACATAAGGGCTTCATAGATCGAGAGAGCATTCATTGTTATCGACTAGTCATTTAACAATCGAATGTTTGCTGAGATAGGCTCCCAATCTGACTCAGACAGAGTTGCCTCTATAGTAGTCTATCTCACGGCCGATATCAGAGATATGGCGCCCGTCTCCGCCCTTTGACATGTCGGCAATCTGCCGTCGGGGGTCAGAGTGCCGTCTGGGGCAGACCGGAATCTCACCTCGACCCAGAGCGGCTCGACGGCGCGCGGACACTTGGCGTGGATGGCCAGGCCGTGTGAAAAGTCGATCACCTCGTCTTCCGTACCGTGAATCACCAGCACTGGAGACTTGATCTTCGGCGCCTTGTCGATACTGAAACGCCAAAAGGAACGTCGTCACGGTGCAAGGATTTACGGGAAGTTTGCGCGTTGTCATAGCAACGCTGATAGGCGCAGCTACAAACAACACAGAAATACAGATCCAGCTTGCTGGAGTTCCAATTATTGCAGAACGGTCGACACAACAAAACGGTGCACATGTTTGCACCGTTGTGTTTATGTGAAAGCCGACTGGTTTTCCTACCCGAAAAATCATGCCCCGGTCATTGAATCACGGCCAGTCGTGCAGTTTTGGTGTGCACCGCTCGGTTTGGGGAAGACGGAAAGAGACACATACAGCTAACGGTGCCCCGAAACCGGCCCGGCGGCAAACTTCCGCGAGCGGCGCCCGGCGCCGCGCCGAGCGCCGCGCCTGCAGACCACCCCCGGCCCCACACGATGGAAACCAGTTGACAAGCGGTCAGATCAGAGCCGGCCGCGGCGCTGAGGCGCTGGCCGGATCGGACCGGCCGCAGCGCTCAGGCACCGGCCAGATCAGACCGGGTAACACATGCAATGCTCGACTTACCGTCGCTACGTCAAGAGATGCAGCTTATCTCTCGAAACCGGATGAAGTCGACACGGAATGAGGAGATTTACTATCGCCGCAAACCAAAAGTAAGATGAAATATCATAGATCACTCGGCACAATATTGTCCGATAAATATGGTAGGTACCTCACTACGCTAATTGTGTAATCCTTCAACATCAGCTCGTCTTTCAAACAGTGTAACCAAGAGGATAACTTTACAGTAACCTAACTCAGAAATATGTGTCGAGAACGTCCTGTTAACACCGCGCTGTGCTTCAAAAGCACCCTCACTCACTTGGGGAAGGCGTCGAAGAACCAGGTGCGCTGCGTCTTGAACGCCACGC